ATGTAAAATAATCGCCTTTCTCAGATCACATATAAAATCGGGTCCTACTTCTTGCGCGGCTAATTAATCTAATTGGGACCAACTATCGTAATTTGTTTTAGTCAGATTGCGTTTGAAAGAAATATTCAGTACGTTTAGGGTACAATAAAGATCAAAACTATTATAACAATAACTAGTATTTTTTTTTTAAAGCACGATACAGGGGAAAAACTAATGTGGTTGCCCCACATTAGTTTTTTCCCCTGTATCGTGGATGCGGTGACAAACATACAATTTCATATACATAGGACACCCAGACTCGTAACAACGATTTGTGGATCACACAAAGAGTTATTCAGCGCGCTAATCGAACCCGCGACACGCTTCACGGCAGCCAGTTGCCCAGCCACCGCACCAACCGTGCAGTCTAAAGTTTAGAATAGCAGGTTGCAAAATCAAAACAATATCTATAAACTAAGTTTACAAGACTAGTCCTAACTAATCTTTTGTCGTATTTAAATATAACTCTTATTTCGCCTTGTACAAAACGTAAATTCATAAAATTTAATACACATAAACTTGAACACTAAAACGTGTATTTTGAACTCTTCCGGTCCAACCCATCATCGTAACTTAGACTTCATTTAGTTCGCTATTTTTCCTTCTAGCTCGACTTAAGTACTAAATCGAAGGAGGTGTGTTGTTTACAGAGCCCCTGACATGTTTATTGTCACAATATTTATACACTAGTGACCAGTCTACTGTTCGTCGTTCGCGTAGCTATATTTTATTGTCAAACCTATTGATTTTACACTGGCAAGGAAATTATCATGTATTCTTTATTACTTCAAAATTGTCTTCCATGCTATATAAATAAATAAATATTTTTGAATTGGTATGACACTTAAACACGACGAATCGAGAATACTTTTCGTAGCTCCTATGCTACGGAGATGCTACGCCGTAGCTTTGCTACACGTTACGTCGCAATGGACCGTAAAACGTACTACGATGACATCAATGATGATTGTGTATAAAGTTTGATATCTTATACATTGATAATGTGGAATCGTTGATGAAATTCTTTTGCCGACTGACATTGTAAATAAATTTAAGGATCATCACATAATATGATATTTCTAACAAAACACTCATCAGATTTATATCAAAACTTTTCATAATAACATAACATACGCTAATTAATAGATAACAAATTACATTAATGTGTTCATAAATTTATTAACACACCGATAATTTTATAGCGGCACGTTTTCCAACAACTATAAATACAATGTACAATAAACATATAAATTATACAAGCGAGAGTGAACTTACACAAGAGCAATTAAGAGTTTAATAATGTCCCGTTAATTGCAGAGGAGACGTAACGAATGTGCCCCATGTCCCCCTTACGGGGCTGCGACGCGATTACCTAATAAAACTTAGTCTCGCAAGAAAACGGTGAAAGAAGAGTTATCTTGATGTCTGCTGAAGGTCTTTTGTTTAGTTGGTTTACATTATAACGAGATGTGAACTGTCCAATTATAATTAATAGATATCTTGAGTGTCGTGGTGACCCGGAGGTTATAGAGCCCGCTTGTCATGCATGAGGGCGTGGGTTCGGAATCTGGCAAGTACCAATGTGACTTCCGAGTTATATGTGCTTTCTATGATTATTTAGACACCTCTGACATACGGTGAAGGTAAACATCGTGAGGAAACCTGAACTTATAATTTCTAATTATAAGTTTGAAATCGCCAACCCGAATTGAGCAAGCGTGGTGATTAAAGCTCAAAGAGGCCTTTGCTCAGCAGTGGGCACTTATGGGCTGATGACGTGTGTGTGATAATCTTGAGTGGTTAATAGTTAGGGTGTTTTTGAACGTTTATAGTTAAACGTTTTTTTTAAAAACTTGTTTCTGCGTTGCTCTCACATATGGGTACAATAGACACATATACACTATATTTTATATTAGTAAAATTGTAAAAATAATATTTTTTTAAAAGAGTAACGTTCATCCCTTCACTGATGAACGAACAGACAGACAAACTACTATTCTATTTCAACGTTTCAAAATTACCTATTTATAGTTTAGTTGGCATAAATGATTTTAACTTTGGCAACATTTCGTCATATAATGTTATATTTAGAAAAGCTATCTGTTTGTGTTAAACTTCCTACTACCTTACTCAGATAAATGAAATGATGAACTTCAAGCTATTGCTCAGTCATTATTTTATTACGAAAACAAAAGAATAGCTTAGAACTTGTTCTGGTGAACATTAATATATTGTGCGGTACGATGGTTAATTGTCAATTTTGTGTAATTCTATGTTTGATATTAAGCATAGTGTATCAAATGTGTTCATAAACTTTTGATTCCTGAACCTTTCCAATGTATCGTAGACCTATTTATTGACGACAAAAATATCGCAATTTAATTAATCAACGAATGAACCAATGGAAACCATTTAACCTCCCAATAACAAGTAATCCCCAATCAAGTGAGCTTTTAAATCTATTAATAGAAATCAATTATCAGTATTAAGCTGACTCTACTTCAAAGTACGCTTTTAGTGAAGCCACATCTAAAGGAACGAGTAACTTGACCTGGATCGTTTAGAATTATACTGCGAGGTTTGACTCAACGATTTCTGTTCAAACTCGAGATTGTGCACGGGGAAATTAAATTGATTTTACTGACGAAATTAATTAGAAATTTCGTGATTCGACACTACATATTTTTTTTTATATTAAGTAGAGCATTTCTCAATAAATTCACATTCAAATTTTCAATAATTTTACTTAAAAATAAATGTGTGAGAAATTTCGGTTTAAAGTTGCTAGGGTTACTCTGTTTTAATGTATATGTACAGTTATATCACATTACACATCATCAGACTATAAGTGCCCACTGCTGAGCAAAGGCCTCTCCTCACACGGAAAAGGTTTGAGCATTAATTACCACGCTTACTTAAGGTGGATTGGCGATTCAAACTTATAATTAGAAATGATACGTTCAGGTTTCCTCACGATGTTTTCATTTACCGTATGACAGAAAGTACATATAACTCGGAAAAAGCCACATTGGTACTTTCCAGGTTTCGAACCCGCATCCTCATGCATGAGAAGCGGGCGTCTTATCTTTCAGGCCACCACGACATTTTACCGAACAATTATACATATATATCACAAAGCTTCATCAGCATCTTTGACAAAGAAATTTAAAAAAAAAACATTTTTATTGTTTTCGTTACTTTAATTATTTAGTTTAAGATAGCTTCAAGTTTTCTTTAGTCTGCTAATAACTGCTGATCAGTATTTTCATATAAGTACATTATTTATGAAATAAAATAAATTAATTGTATTAGTCTCATAGGGACTTTAAAATTAAAACCTAGTGATTTTTTGTCATGCGCGTATACAAGGATTCTTATTATTTCTGAAACAAGAACAATTAGCATATTGTCAAGATTGTTAATTTAAAACATAACGATGAGTAAACACCTAGTAAGGATTTATGCATTACAAATCCTTACTAAGAGATACGATTAGCTGCAATTTAGACGCATATTAATAAAATAAAATATTTATTGCATTACCTTTATATACAGGATGTAGCAGTAACATACAGCACTCTCACATTGCGAGAGTAATGTCGACGCATTTGTTAGCGTCACCTTCGACGCCCACGTGACACGCGACGCCATGCCGCTACCATTTGTCGCGTCAACCCGCGCACGGATTTATAGCTCATCCTGTACCTATACATACTATACACGCATCGTAACATTAAACCAGATAACAGCAGACACTCACCAATAATGTTGCCATTAATAAATTTGCTATGCCAATACTTTTTAAAGCACTACTAAACAAAACTTTTTCAAATATTTATTCATAACATAAACATTAATCAACTGTTACCTAAAGCAAATTTCAGAGAGCCTTAATACTACCATTAATCTTTTACGTTAATAATAATTTAATGACTTAACCAACTCCATTAAATTACAAACTTGCTTACTCGTAAACGTCGCGCGCTGTTTAGTTAACTAATTGCTAAAGTATCTTATCTAACTTTTATATTGAAACAATCATTTTAATACATTGCCGCTTTTAAAATACTTACATTTTTATTGAGGATCAAAAACAAAATGGACCGAAAGCTTTTAAGCGGGAACCGCAACGTTTGCATAAACCGGAAATCGAAAATATCAAACAATGGACTCGACGAAACAAATAGCAACCGTCACGGAATAATTGAATAGTGAAATGTTATGCGCGGCCACGCTCGCGCTCAACTGTGAAATACTTTTAGCAAACACGCGCCGACAATTAACGCGGACTTAACATCGCGCGAGCGACCGGCCCGTCCGGCTGGCGCAGGCCGCGGCCGGCTGCGGAGATAGTGGCCGAGCTCGGAAGGAAGCCAGTTTTCCGCAAGAGAGGCTCCTGCCCGGCCAACTTCGCGGAACGTCTCGGCCGATGCATTTTTGGATGTGAGCCCAAATAACTTGTTGCAACTATGGGGAGGAAACCTGTTGCGCGCTCGTGCCGGGCCTACCCGCGCCCACCCATTTTTGCCTGTACTCCGACTGCAAATACATAATGAATGCGAACGCTGAACGTTTCGCTGTCGGTATTGTGCCGACCGTTTTGTTGTACCCTAGTTTGTGGGATTGCCGTTGTTATAGTCCGGGGAGCACTTTACGCGTCTGCTATTGCAGTTTTAATATTCACGAGGGCTTTGTTGCTGCATTTTTAAACAGGTCAACGTCGTCTGCGCTCCAGCGGCGGCGGGATTAATTTTCCTCTCTATTAGGGGCAAAATCAAAAGCACAAAGTGCACAACTTTTGCTATTTACTGTTACAAATTGTTCACTCGACGACATTATAAAATACAATCAGAACCTGCTTTTATTCTGATGGCAAAAGTACATAAACGGGGAAAAGTGCTTCGTTTTATTTATATAGAAAACGCAAACCAAAATGTTAATGTTTAGTTATATTGTTTCAGGGTGCGTCATCGAGCCTCGTGGTGAAGTTTGCAGATACAGAAAAGGAGCGACAATTGCGACGCATGCAGCAGATGGCTGGTAACATGAGTCTGCTCAACCCCTTCGTGTTCAACCAGTTCGGAGCCTACAGTACCTACGCACAAGTCATCACAGAACAGGTAAGAACGCACAATGTACATACATCGCATATATTCAAGATCTAGTCCAATTCAAAGTTATCTTTTGACCTTCTTGATCAATAAAACGTTCAGGAAAATTCTAAAAAGTTCCTTAATAAATCTCTGAATATCTGATAAATCTAAAGTAAAGTTTTTGTATTAATAGGGGCATACATATAATTGCGTAAAATTTTCAAAAAATATATCGCCTCACCTAGTTTGTAAATCAAAACTTTTAATACCTGCGTTGTCGGCTTGATGAAAATTGATAAGCGTGTAACATGCAATATTGCAACCTCTGTGGTAGCAAACTTTTTACAACTAACTTCATAAATAGCTCACGTTATGTGTCTAGACCCTTTCAGAGATAGCTTTAATATGTTGTAAATGGGAGAAAAACTTTCACGTTCTCCTTCAAAGTTTTAGTACGAAAATCTGTTTTCGAAAACAGACTTTATCTACATCAAATCCTGAATAACTGGTTTTAGTCTCTTGAATTATTGAGACCAGTCTTGAATACGTAGGAGTAAATTTCATGAGTCACCTAAATGGCCATTTCATTATACACACAAGCGAACCTTCAAGATTTCTGAAACATTTACCACTTTATTCTAAGATTTATGTGAGACTAATTTCTGGCAGTGACTTCGTCCGTAGTACCTATCGTGGCTCGCACATAAGTAGCGTATGTGTTATTCGAGTTGCAGCTGCAATAAAGTACCACGGCCTTGTCCCTGTGCAGAAGACAGTCCGATATTCCCCTTACCCAATTCAGGGCGACAATTCTATGTGTTATGCCAGATTACATTCAAATCCGTTTAGTAGTTCATGTGAAAGAGTAACAAACATCCATCCATGCTTACAAATTATCGTGTTATAATCTTAGTAAGATTAGTTCAAAACAATCATATAACGTAATTATGTAGTTCACAATTATGTACAGACAGAGTGCGACAATAATCGCTCGTCGTAGTACTACATGCTACGCCGTAGACAATATGCTACGGAGCTTCATACATACAACAGGGCTCACATTAACTTGATCCTATTTAAGCTCAATAGCGTTGTAGCGCTTCAAGAAGACGTATACATTTAGTATTCAGTAATTAATATATAGAGCTACATGTTTCGAGCGCACAGAAGTACTACCGCACTTGTGTATACTGATTTTCACTGAAAACGTGGAAGTGAAATTACAAACGTTTTCTCCATTGCCATGGACTCATGTCTATTCCCTAGAGTAAACTTGAAACATTCTAAGTATAACATAAACTTTAGCAGAGTAGACTTTTAAAATTTTCACAGGATGTAATGCAACGTGTCTTATTTTTCTGTAGAGCCTAGTAACTGTTGTGTATAACGTATTCGTTTGTGTGTTACAGCAACAAGCGGCGTTGATGGTCGCAGCGACGGCACAGGGCTACATCAGTCCGATGACTGCACTCGCCTCGCACGCTCTCAACGGCATGTCGAATACTGTGGTACCACCCTCCTCGGGTAAATATTGTTCTTTACTCTAACAAATATAAGCCTTTGACCTTTTAATGGATTTTATTGTTAATTATATTTCATCCACAAATATTTATATATTTATCGTTTAATTCCAGATAACTTCTCTGGCCTAGCGATAGGCACAGGTGGTGGGCAACCACTGAATGGAGCTCTGCCATCGTTGCCCTCTCCAACTATGCCTGGATTCAACATGGCCGCCCAGACTGCTAATGGACAGCCCCCGCCGCAAGATGCCGTCTATACCAATGGCATCCATCAGACCTTCACTGGACGTAAGTATTTATATCGATTGCTGCGAACATTGGTACCTTTCTTTGTGGTGGTCCTAATATCGAACCTTGTGGAACTCCCATCAACTATCTAGAAAAATTACCCAATTTTTCATTTTTTAAATTCCACAAACATTGATTACTGTACTAATAGAAACTTAAAAATATTTTGTATATGATTTTTCATGTTCTATTTTCCAGCTGTTCCAGTAACTGCACAAGGCCTGCCCAACGGTGAGGCAGCAGCACTGCAACACGCGGCTTACCCGGGCATGCAGCCGTTCCCCGGAGTCGGTGAGTGGCACCGCCCCATACTCTATACACAAACTGCTTTAGTTACATGCTTCAGACTTGACCAATAGACTATCTCAAGCTAAAAAATTACCGGCATATTGGCAAATATTTTTGCTTGTAAATCACAAATACCTTTTGAATATATCTGTAGATGTTTTTGGAACTTTCTACCTATTGGTCAAGTCAAATTTAATGTTAGCCACATTGTTGTTAAAAGTTATTTGCATTTAATGCATCATACTTTTGAGTTCTTCACAGCTCTTAAAATCGATTTCTTTTAACAACAAACAAAGCAAATATTTCACAATTTTTGTATAGAATGAGTATTCAGTAATGATAATAAGTCTGTGTATTTTGAATGAATGGTACATATTGTAATTCTGTCGATGCAAGGGAAACGGATGTTTTGTATATTGTTTATGTTACCTACTGATTGATTGATCTGCTACCAAATATCAATTTTACATAAGAACAATCTTAAAGCCTATTAGCAGATCGATCGACTTCTAGTACATCGTTGTGTATATCCATAAAGGATACTGTGCGCTGTTCAAATCACGCTACTCGATATTATGGTTAATTTAGTTCTCAATAGTAGTTTGTGTTCAATGTTATATGTCTATTATTTTATTTACTCCAAACCACCATCAAAATTAAAACAAAATATGTAAGAATTGGCAAAAAAACCTAAGTGTATATCGATGGATATGATTTTAGCTTGATTATTGTTACATAATAATGTTGTTATATGCATGTATATGTACGCAACTATAGGTGTTCATTGTGAAAATGTGCAAATTAATGTTCTACAGCTTATCCAGCGGTATATGGGCAGTTTCCGCAGCCCATCCCGCCACCGATGTCAACAATTGCGCCCGCGCAAAGAGAAGGTAAGTGGAGCCCCGAGGACGACGCCACGGAACTAACCCAGTCCTTCAGCAGACGATTTCATCCACTATCATTAACCAGCTCTTAATGTTTATGGAGATCATCCAAAATCAGTAAACTCTATATATACGTCAGGAGATTTATTGATTTTGTTATATGTACTTCTGTTTGTTATTCAGCCACAAATAAAGTTTTATAATTTATTTTGATGTAATAACATCATATTTTAGTCACATTTTGGCTGGATAGCATTTGGTGTTGTCTACAGTTTATGTGTTTATGTGATAGTTGGTGTTCTTTCAAGTATACAGTGACACACGGAAGGGTTATGATTAGCTTCTTCCACTCTTACTACTGCTATAACGTACCACACGTCTGTCGCTGTACACTTCATGTCATGTGCATCTATCTGTATGTCTGTCGTATCGCTGTTCTATGGATATGTGTCTTTAAAACATGTAACGTATTAACTTTATTTATTCTTTTATAATCCAACTTCAGATTTTGGTTTAATAATTGTGACCTAACTTTTATCGTTCACAGTACGTTCGTCAGTTGCGTCGTCTTAACCTTCATTAATCATCTCTCTCATACTAATGTCTTGAGTTGCATTTAAGAATTTACTATCACTTTCTACTTCATCATTTTGTACTGTCCCCCCTTTAATATAAACTTTTCGTCATGGTGTTCAGAGGCAGATTTGTGAGTTCTTTAAAGATTTTCTTATGTTCCCAGGCTGCTCCATCTCGGGCCCCGAGGGCTGCAACCTGTTCATCTACCACCTGCCCCAAGAGTTCGGAGACGCCGAGTTGATGCAGATGTTTCTGCCCTTTGGCAACGTCATCAGCAGCAAAGTATTCATCGACCGCGCCACCAACCAGAGCAAATGTTTTGGTACGTTGTAATCTTAAAATTTCATTTCTTATTATAAATAAAACTTCATATTTTAATTATAAATCTTGACCCTGAACTTGGAAATCTATATAACTGAATATTTATTTCAGGCTTCGTATCGTTCGACAACCCGGCGTCGGCGCAGGCGGCGATCCAGGCGATGAACGGCTTCCAGATCGGTATGAAGCGGCTGAAGGTCCAACTTAAGCGGCCCAAGGATGCCAATCGGCCTTACTAACCCAAGACGCCGTCCCTGCGCGCTCATCGCGTGCCGATGGTACGTAGACAGCCGTGACCACATACTGGACGGTACAACAGGTTAAAGACAGTTCAGTAAGTAATGAGCCGTGTTGTTACAGGTGGCGGCCGGAGCGCACGGCACGCCCGAGGCGCGCCTGTTCGCGTGTTATCAACAATTCTATGGAATTTACTACACATTTATTGTATAGCAAATATCATTACCTACATACTTACCTAAAGAATTATGCAAGCCCACTCGGCGAGTATACTAAATTAGTTAAAAGTAATTTATTAAATCAGCGCGTAGGAATGCTTCATTCTTATCATTATCGATTAATCATTAAATTACTCTATTATATTATTATATATACAATTTATTAACTTTGATTAAATTATTATTATTATTATAAAATGACACGTTATAAAAATTTTGTCATTCGTAATCATACTTCTACTTCTAAGTACTTAACGTTTAACTGAAACTTTTAACATAAATTTATTATACTAGTTATTTGCTTGAACTAAGCCAAACTGAATTTATTAAGTAAGTTGAAAATGTAAGAAAAAAAGTGTATTTTAATGATTGTATATTGCAAGGAAACGCAGCGCCGCGGGCGATAGCGCGCGTGTGCCCGGCAGGCCCCGGTGCACGGCAGGTAGCAGGTAGGCCTACCCGGCCCTGCAGTGCCAGTCCGGCCCGTCCGGTCTGCCCGGCCTGTCCGGCCCGGCCCGGCCCTGTCCGGCACGTCGCCCGCCGCGCGCGCGCAGACACTGTTGTCTCCCCCCGCCGAACTGATCACACTAATATAAGTGCTCGCATAGATCACTATTGGAGTATTTATAATGTCCTATATTTTGTTAAATTTTAATGTGTGTGTGTATGTGTGTAAGCTATGTGGCTGGCTCGTACCACACGACATTCTCTTACGGCGTTACTCGAGACGACAATGTACTGAACCCTGAGATGTTACCACGATACAGCAGTGTGCGACCCATGTACAGTTATATATAAACCTTGTAACTGCGATATGTATATTATTGAGTAGCACGTTGTAATGACGCGTCTGTCTGTCCATGGTACGGCCAGCAACCTCACAAACCTACATGTTAGTGAACGATGTTGTTGACAAAATTAAATGTTTGTATTAACGCTGTGTACAAATCAAAGTGCACTTCATGATTCAATACTTAGGCCTTCGTTTCGAAAGATCGTGTTATTATGTGTTGTAAATTCCAATATGGGCTGTGATATAAAAAATATAATATCAACATAATGGACTGTACAGGCCGTTCGTCTCTGTATTGCATATGTGTGTACCGCTCCCGAGCCGCCCGCGCGCCGCGCCCCTCCTGCCAATCCGAGATCTTACCAAATCTCGTATTCCATTCTCTTTCTAAGCTCTACCCTTTTATTGATATCTAAACTTCCCTGCAGTATAAACATTAAACAGTTACCAGCAAAGTGATCAAGGTAGAGACACTTTCAGAGATTACTATAAAGAAAAATCACTATTTATTTTTGTACATACTAAAAGGAAATTCCTGAAACTGTCTCTATTAATGTGAAAATTACCTTAGAAATGTTTTGTTATTTTGTTATCAGAACAAATGTTTCTGGGTGTCAAAGATCTGTAGATAGCTAATTAGACAATACCGAGCAGAGAGGGCGCGGGGCGTGCGCGCGGCACACTCGCGAGGTCGCGACGTCAATTCTCTCGGAGCGCGCTTCCCCTAATTTGTTTAAAGCATTCGTGTGTGAGTGTCTATACATTATACATATATGAAAACTATTCGTGTTAAGGTGTTGAATACAATAACTGTGACTTAATGCGTCCCGGGAGTCAACAGTGAGTGGTGCGCGAACTAACAGAATACAAAACTAGTGTAATTTCTACTGAAGAAATAGATTCATAATCAAGAAAAGTACCAATATAAATATAATACGAGATACCTTAGATATATTGTGTGCGCGCGGGCGAGTCGCACAGCGTGGCACGCGCGGCGCGGCTGGAGGGGCCCGGGGCCCGGCAGTGGGGCCCATCACAGGCGCCCAACCTGGGCCACGGGGGCCCACGCGCAGAGCCCGGCCCGGGCCGCAGCGCCCACACGCAGGACCTGGTCCGGGCCGCCCTCCCTCGCCGCCCGCTCTAGTCAAATATTACACTCACCACAAGACATAGAATTTTATATTTACACAAATAATTATATTATATTGATATAGTATTCTAGTTTTAGGCGATACTATGATTTACAAGTAAGCAGTGTGTTTAAACGATATTGAAAAAAAAAACATAAGTAAATCGTTTTAAGTGTTCTCTAGCTCTTTTCTGTAAAGTCTTATCTCACCGTTGTGCAATACGTTGTTACGCTTTTTATAATTGTTTTAGCCTCGTATTTATTTGATGAAGTATTTATTTATTGAATGTTTCTTATGTTACCGTTGTAGATAATTCGTCGACGTGGTCTCGTTTCGTGAACCGACTGCGAGCCGGCCTCAGTACGGTTAGGAAGTGTCCCTCGTGGCGGGCAGTGAGCCGGCGCCGGCCGCCACTGGCCGCCATTGGTCGCGCTCGGGTCGCTCGTGTTGAGTGCAACGCCGCGCCGCGACCCACCTAGGTTACAGATACACAAATGGATGCCAAACCCGAACACGTATACTTAGTATATCGACTATCGATAATATCACCTCGTGGGTAATGTAGGCGTAACGCGCCCGGGCACCGCCCGGGACGATTAATAATATTGTGTACTTATATCTTTATACTGATTAAAATTAAAATTCCCTAAAATATATTGCGGAGACGCGAACATTTGTAATAGATTAATGAGTCCTTTCAGAATGTATAAAACAATCGCCATAAAAGTGATTCTAGGATACAGGGTATGCTTTGCAATTATTTAAATGTATCTAAATAATTTCACGTAGGCAGATATTGCCGACTGTCTGCCGTAGAGTCCGACTCGCACACGTGGCCGGCGGCAGCGCGCCGCATCGCTCTCGGGTCCACTAGTCTGTCGCTACTTTTTATACTGTCTCGTACTGTAGCGTAGCCGACCTCATCCTCATCTCACGCTGTCCATCTCCTGCTCGACTCAACTGACGCGCTTCGCTCGCTTCGTTTCCGACAGCCGACAGGCGCCACCTCACCCACTTACAGCCACTGCGTTACTGAAGTATCCTCACTCACTTGTCACGTGTCACTCCGCGGCAGCGCGACGTCACGCGACGCCACTCGCGACACATCAACAACATTCTTAGTATTACGAAATCGAATTTCTAAAAACTATTAACTCCTGACATTTTATAATATATTTATATATATCGTTCGCATACTCCAATACGTGGTAGCGCACGCGTACACGTGAACATGATCGATGCACTCAAGGACGTTTGGATCGTTGGTAAGCGGTATGCGAATCGAAGGCGGGTCGTATTAAGGCGATGTAGTTAGTTAGAAGTCGGGCGCGGGCGGCCGGGGCGGGCGTGACGTCACCCGCGCGATATACAACGCGCCCGCCGCGCCCCGCCCGATGTTACTTAGTACATAAGGTGAATGCCAATATTTTAATCAGAAAAAAAACAAACCTTAGAATCGGGAATTATTAATCATATTATATCTATTTATATAATAAAAATATGGAGAGAGCGCATAGTGCTTTTATGAATAGTAGGTTCTAGTATTGAAACAAAACGATCTAGTCATATCTCCTTTCTGTTATTTATTTTTTCTATCGCTTAGCATAGTTTAGCTTCAAGCACACGTTCGTACTTACTTTATTATATTGTACTTGTCTTATTTGTGTCCTAGCGTTGACCTGTTACCGTTGCGTTCCTCAGCTGTGCTAGCCCTACTAGTACTAGCCGATTGTATTACTAGACTCGTTGTTATCTTAACTTCCTAACTTACTTCATTAGATCGACATATTTTCACATAAACCTACTATATTATATGAGATGAGAATATACTACTAATTTAATTTTTGATAAGTTATCCAGAATACTGTTACTGCAGCAGCCCTACCTTTAGATTAGTTAAGGTTAATTGAGATAATTTATCGGTATAGAGTGGTAGAGCACGAGTTATGAATGGTATAACCGTTTGGTTAAGTTAGAGGTTTAAAGTTACCTTAGGGCCAGTTATTGGAGTATGATTTAGGTAGAGAAGATACTCTCATAGTTCAGCTAAAGATTGTAAGCGGCGCGGGGAGTGCTCGCGTGAGGCGGCGGGGGCACTCGGCGCGCCGCAATATCGCGCCGTCCGTAACATCTCAAATAATATATTGTAACCGATATCAGTTCCCTAGTTTGCTTCACCTACCCTACTGGATTCTTACTAGTTTCGACTCTGGACAGACGTCACAGGTTATTTTTAAATTGTAAAGTCGACCTCGGCCATCGGAGCCCCGTACTCGCACACACTGACCGACTTCAACGTACTTAATAGATATTGACAAGGATTTATCCTAGCGTAGAGATATAATTCGAACTGCCAAGTAACGGAACTTATTGTAGTGTAGTGTGCGCTTACTGCAGGCAGTGTGTGGGGGGGGGGGCGGCCGGGGGGCTGCGTGTGTACCTATGTTCCACAGTAATTCGATTTGTACATACATATGACGTCATATCTTTAGGAGCTTACTAGCCTTTTGCCCCGGGACCGCCCGGGCGGGTGACAGGGTGTCGCTGTGTTAATGCTAAGTGGAATTCATAATCATTAACCGTTTTTTAGAATGGTTACGCGCCATACTTGATAAAATGTAAGGGTGAACTTATACGGGCGACTGGACTGAAGCCGATACTGAACTGTACATTAGGACAGCCACTTACAACACGAATTTTAAGATAGCTTATAACTACAACCTGCGCCGACGTAGCTCGTGGAACGTTACAAAGGTTCTCAGTCGCCTGATAACGCCCAAGGTGTATAAAATGGTGAACCAATTAAATACTCGTAAACTATGTCCCTTACATTGTTCTGGATAACTTATATTGGAATAGTTTAAGAGTGAACGACGACGGTATGTGTTCAGGCTTGTTCGGGACCTGACACTTGTAATCGATTAAGATTCTGTAAAAGATTGGTCTTTATATATAATCGCTCATCGACCACTCGATGCCACCCACCAATGTATTATAACTGTAAAATAGTATATGGAGAATAAATTATATGCCCTTTAAATTAATATAACTATAACATTGTGTAAATAAAAGACCATCTAATATTTATGTATAAACTAAGGTAGTGTTTCAGTCGTTTCAAACAAATATAATATATGAGAATGCCTTCAGAGTTGGTGTTTATATTTCCCCGAATAATCCTGAATATCGCCGTGTATCTGTTTGCATATATATAGCTTACGAAGGGACACCACACGGTGCCTGTGATATACGCTTCTAATGATCGTCCATACAACCTACGCTATGTACTTACGACACTTTATGTTGCTCTCCTACAGTCGTAAAGCGTTACCAAATATGTACAATGTTGATGCCATAACTATATCATTTTATTCAACTAACTCGAATTAATTTTATTATTATTAGTATTAAGACAACTATCGACATCTGTACACGAGTTCGTGAAACTAACGTGTAACATTGATCAAGTTTGTGAGCTGGCATCGCACCATCTCTAGAACTGGGATTTATTCATCAAATTGTTATTCTAATATAAATAAAGATTTAGAGCTGAACGCATGTACCGATATCGATAGTTTCAGGCTATCTATCGATAGATAAGTTAGTTATCGACAACACCGGATGTTCGCGATATTGAACGTTGTACAGAGGCTGCCTCGAAGCAGTTGTGTTTCATCGCTAACACTCAGCCCCAAGTTGTTGTACTAAACAAGTTAGTTAAATAAATACACTAGAGAAATTATTGTTTAATGGGTATCGTTGACCAGTCTGCCCAGTTGAAGACACACTGAAATAAATACGTTCAATCTTTAAATAAAGTTTTTAAGAGACTTGTTAAAGTCGCCTACTATTTAACTTTTATAGAGTATTCGATTATAACATTGGAGTTATTATTTCTTTACTGAGACTGGGCCGACTGCACCTCACTTGTGTAATACGTGCGCGGAGTCACGTGTCCCCACAAGCTCCCGTACCTATTAGCTAGCCATTGAAATGTTTATTCTCATATATTGTTATAGTTCGCCAAAGATTTGTAAAGAATAAATAAATAAAGTGTTACGATCACTTTTGAAACGTCGCTAGTAAATCGTTCATTTTTAATTTTTATATTTATGAACTTTTATTATTATTAGTGTAGTTATAAACAGACAGATTATTAGCAAATTGTGGGATATGTTCAATGTTCATAGATACAAGTTAAATATGAAACTAATACAATAATGATTCGCCTACTTTGCATGTCTTTATTTAGTTATTGAACTTTTAAACCTATTATCGAGTTATTAATATGTATATTGCTGAAATATTTTAAAAACTAAATTACTATTCAATTATTTATTATTATACACTTATTACGTTTAGTATGCTAGAAATATGATGAAGGATAATAAATAATTTTAATTATATTACGGTGAGTGTTTTATTTATTGCGACAAATTGTATTACCATACATAAATAATTGTGTTCCCAAAATGTACATACAAGAGTCAGGTACGAAGATTTAGAAACTGCAAAATATGTATGTTGCGACATTTTTATACATTAATTTATACAAGATACATTAAAATAATAAATTAACAATAAACTAGGTCGACTAGTCGCTATTGCGACTGCCAAGAACTCATTTTTAAGCTCCGATTCCTTTATTTCATTACATAATAAAAACAAAAAAAGATATTTATAATAGCTATGGAATTTGTATATTACAATCTCTTTTTAATTATAGGTACTCAAATAAAGTTCAGTGGTCCAACTTTTAAAAATTATTAAGATTTATCTTCGACCTATATACAATTTTACTAGCAAATATTTATCGAAACTTATTGAAAATACCGACGTGAATGATCTGTGAAATGCTCAACAAGTTTCAGTCAATTTGCGCGACGAAGAGTCCCGTTGTAACTTGAAACTAATAGGTAGAGATTTTCTCTCGTTTTTCTCTGTTCAGTTAATTCACGGATTCTCTTAGTAAAGAACAATGGGTAATTTTGTATCGAAGCCGTACCCACTTTGTAGCGTTTTAGACTTAACGGGCGCTTAAGCGTAACTCGAAAATAAGTGACTGAATGAATGAATGAAAGACCGAAGTTATAATATAATAACTTCTTCGTAACATTTTTAATTGCCAATAATCTAATTTTTTCTGCTTTTTGGACTAAATAAATAGTTCACCAGTCATTTTGTCGGTATTTTCAACATCGAACATATTTTTTCCAAGACGATAAGATTGTTTACATTTAGTTAATCACCTAAACCGATACACGATACTAACAATTTTATTGAGTTTATAACTCATATCACGTTGCAGTAAGGCCGGAGTTAATATTCCAAATAAGACAGTTTGTTTTTAAACTCTCAAACAATAGGTGGGTAGAAAACGGGTCAGCTAGCCAAAGACGACGAAAGCCGATACGGCCTCAAAATTAATTGAACCTAAAGTCAAATCAATGATTGAATTTGACAAACAGGAACTTTTGAACGTCAAAAAATGTAAATAAATATAAAATGTTTAAAAGTATCTGTTCATCCGTCAATCATCTTTGTATGTATATAGTGAAGGTATTAGCTCGTTCCAAAGTGTAGATTCCTATGGGGAATAACTATACTCGGAATTTTAATTCCGTTCCAGATTTGACAATTTCAGTGTTGCAACGTTATGACAAGTACTAAATAGTGACGTTGCGAAATTATTCGACATGGAAATCGAATATTTTCGGATCGATTCCTCTCGTTTATAATTTTACTCTCGTAAACAAAGTATATCAGGAAATTAAATATTTCTGAACCGATAATTTAGTTTTGACGATTAATTAACGATCTGACTTTTCTTTTATGATAGTGTGTGAAAAAAATGTGACAAATAAAACAGATTAATCTGTTTTATTGAAAATCTATAATTTAGTCTTTAATTGGCACACACAACGATTGATTATCGATTTTTGTGTTCATCACTACACCATTATAATGTGGTATCATTATTTCACAAAATAACAGTATTTAATGTCAAATGTGGAATCGAATTAAAATTCTGCCTATAGCAAGAAACTCCTCTTTTCAATCTGTTTTTCTAATGTCAGTTGGTCAGTTTTTTACCCTACCAAATATTAAAAGTCGTTTATGGTTGTTTAGGGTAGAAAATGTGTAATTAACTAATGACAACTAATACCTGACTTTTTATACATTTTGTACTTCAACAAATATATTAGAAAATTTTGCAAAATTAGTTTAACTTTTCTCGAGATTTACGAACAGTAATTAATTTTTTATACATAACATATGTACATTTGCTGTGTTTTTGAAACGTATTTTGGTAAATATAAGTACATAATTTTTTTTAAGAACATTGAAGAAAGACCAAGTTTAATTTGACTATTGTAAACATATATCCATTTATTTACAAGAAATTTTATGGTACTTTTCTAGCAAAACCCTTCGAGACAGAACAAAAAGTTCATAAACAGACTTATTTATTTATAGTTTTAAAGTAGTATGGTATTTTGCTCTTTGGATTACTCTTTTTGCGTTCCGGTGTTGATTTAGTTTCACTAACCATTGCCGGTTTACTATCACCAAGTAAGGAGAACCTTTTATTAGAATCGCACGATGTATGTGTTTGTTTTTCACCTTCTTCCATTATTGTGACCGCGTCTACTAGAGACATTCTTTTCGTATCAGATGTTGGTGGGGACTTCGATGATTCTTTTGTGAGTTCAACTTGTTGACAGATTTGTTCGTCGACCTGTTGACAGACTTGTTCGTCGACTTGTTGACACATCTGTTGTTCGATTTGTTCTTCAGATAAATTGTTAGATGACTTGACAGTTTTTGCTTGCTCATTGGTATTTGTTTCTTGTTTTCTGACGATTTTTGGTGTAGTCTCCTGTTTTGAGTCAGTTTTGTTGGCTTTCATTTCTGATTGTATTGTCACTTCGATTAAACTTTCGTCTATTTCGTCTTGAGAGAATAAGTCGGGAGAATTGTTTGTTAGTTCATCTTCGATTACTAATGTTTCGCGCGCCGATTCACTGATGCTCTGAAATTTATAAAATAACTTAAATAACAATATTTGCTGTAATGGAAATAAATTACACGTATGCTATATGAACCCTAAACCACGTGCAAATAAAGTCTAATTCAGAATGTAATTAGTAGTTGGTGACAAAGTTTGAGCTTTAAAAATTAACCTTTAGGGATGGTAACAAAATACAAATTTGAAAATTAATTAGTATGAGAGTGCTTGAAGAATTAATGTGGGGATCATGCGTCGGCACGAATGGGCCGACTCAACCAAAGTGATACCACATGCCTCACAGAAAACCGGCGTGAAACAACCACGCGTTGTATTTCGTTGTGTGAGTGAGCTTACCGGAGAACCAAATTTCCCCTCCCAAATTCCTAAATTCCCAAAACCCCTTATCCCCAAAAGGACAAAAATGCACTTTCAACCCCTCTAGTGATACGGGTGTCCATGGGCCGATTGCCAACCATCAGGTAATCCGCATGGTCATATGCTAGTATACCACATAAAAAATTAAGTATATAAGTAAAAAAATATTCTTACAGTATCCATCATGTTATCACTGGAGTTCAGCGATGATTCTTTGTTCTCGTTAATCACTTTTTCCAAATACGTGTAGAAACGTGTGAGTAGTATATTGTTTTCCTGCGCAAACCTCACTATGTATCTATACAGTTGGCCTGGAACAAAAGTTATGTTAGTAAACCTCTTGAGAATACAGTTATAGAAAAGTTTATGACTTTTCAATGAAATTCTCTGTTTATGACATCGAGATTTGAACTGTGATTATATTTGTGAGAAAAATAGTATGCTTATTATTACATTAAACTAGAAAAACTAGAAACGTGTCGAAAATAAAGTATATCGTCAAATGAATGGTTGAAAATAATCATCTTTTCAATATTGTATTGCATTAAGAACTCAAAAAAAATCACGAAAATAAGCAATACGGTATTTGACAATATGATAAAGGCACAAGAATGTTTGTGACTTTATTATATTAACGTCATCAAGCAATCAATTCACGTCAAATAGCCTACTTCTTTCTTAAAGATCATCTAGAAAAAGTCGAAAATAAAAGTACATAATTATGAGTATTTACTAAGTCAGATGAATGAATGGAATATGATAGAGTTTAAATTTTTTATTGATTTGTAAACCAATTGTTGTTTGGTAATTAAAAAAAAAATATTGACATTTAATGTAATAAAGAACGCGTAAGGAGCCATATCATATAGACTATTAAGAATTATAATAAAGCAAAATAACTGACCAACGGTGACATGATGGCGTGCTAACAAGTTGTACATGTTGGCGATATCGTCCCGGAGCTGCGTGTCCCCGAAGGTGTAGTATGCCATGGGTCTGCGGGCGGCGGCGCAGGCCATGAGCTGCAGGAGGCTCTTGAGATGCGGCGTCCCTCCGAAGGCGCCGCAGCCCCAGTTGCCCGTCGCCACGCCCGGGTACTGCAGCCTCTCGCTGCTAGCGTCCGTGTCGAACGAAACCCCCACCCATGCCTACGACGAAAGAATTGCATTCAGTATTTTTGGTATTGTTAAAAAAAGATTCCAAATGCGCTCAGACGGTATGAATATTAGTTTCTAGTTCTACGCTTGTGTAAGTTACGTGATTCTATTTCTATTCATTTTTTTCTATTTTTTTTAAATGTTGCCCCACATAAAGTTTTTCCCAGAAACACACAATTTCACATCACACCTAGACCCGGAACAACAATCTGTGGATCATACAAATAATTGTTCCGTGTGGGAATCGAACCCGCGACACGTTGCGCGGCAGCCAGTTGCCCGGTCACCGCGCCAATCGTGCAGATTTTGTTTTTATAATATTCATATCTTCTGTATAATTACATTATATTTCCTAGAGAACAAAAGGAAAACATACATCAATATAATCTCAAGCTAATAGCTAAAGAAGATATTTTTGTTTGACATCCCAAGTTATAATAAAATCAAAGTTAAACATTTTCAATCTCAAATCCATCTTATGTTCAAAACCACAGGATGCAATATCGAAAAAATATTTTGCTGGATATTCCATTCATCAAGAAAGTTCATAGTCAATTTTGAATAGTAACTTATCGTGGGAGATACTAAATTTATTGAAAAGCAATGACTTACTCACGTGAATTAACTAAAATAAGCTCTACTAGTTTCAAGTAATCGTAATTTTCAATAAAGGCTTAAGTAGCAGTTAGTCTTGTATAATCTATACTAATACTATAAAGAGGTAAAATTTGTAAGTTTGTACATTTGTAAGTTTATATGTAGGGGGTAATCTTTTAAACTACTGGTCGGATTTTCAAAATTCTTTCACTGATAGATAGCTACAATGTTCTGGAGTGCTATAGGCTATAAAACATCACGCTACGATCAATTGGAGCAGCGGGTGAAACCGCGCGAGAATAGCTAGTATTTAAATATTTACCTTATTAAGTTCCCTAGTAATAGCATCCCTATGGAATTCTTGTGCTAGACTGTTGTATGGCACGGCGTCTATGGCCAGTACTGCGCAGCGGCGTCGCGCGGAAGAGTCCCGCGGCGTACTGTCTTTGTAGTCGCCCGCAAACTCGAAACTATGACCGTAGCCCACGTATTTACTGTAGCGCTCCACGCCTGCGGTACCATAATAATCATAATTATAACAACATTAATAACTTAGCCAAAATAAACTCATGGCCACAGACCTATAGAGCTGTTCAGCCGGGATTGCGGGACACCGAAATGTGGCTACGCGGCCTCAACAGAGCAGGAGAAGGAACGGGTTTTAGTTAGCAACAGTGTGATACTCCCCCTCGCCCGAGCCTGGGCAGGAGAAGTCATTTGATGATTTTACCCCCCGTACCTAATCTGGCGTTGCAGGTGACTATTTCTGAGAATTTCAGTAAACCGAAAATAAGAATAACTGTTACCCACTTTAACCGCGCGGGTATCGCAATTGTCACTATATGAACAGCGTAATAATTAAAATGTGGGAGAGCCTCAGTCCGAATGGGACGGAGTGATACCACGGTCTCACAGAATACCGGCGTAAGAAACCACCAGCGTTGCCGTGTTAGTGAGGTTATCAGAGTTCCAATTCTCCCCCTCTCCCTATCCCCAATCTCCAATTCTCTACACCCTAACCACCAAAACGCACTGTACGCAACGCACTTTCATGAGGGCCGCGAATTGCATAACTCAGACCACCCGCCTACTATTTTACTGCTTTCTCACATAAGACAATAACAGAATACATACCAATGATTATCAGAGCTTCATTGGGCCTCATTACTTCAGTGAACAACATGGATATCATCAGCTCTGGACATATCACGAACCGAATCTCCTCCTGTACGCAACCATGACCCAACACGCCACCCCCTAGAAACCTGAGAAAGTAGTAATTGTTACATTAAACTCTATGGACATAAATGTATAAGTTATTTTTGAATGCATTGTTATTATGTAAACTAAAATCAATATGTTCAGTGTGTGTGTTTCTTTATTCTCTTGTCTTTGAATTCAGAATAGGTTAGAATTTAATAATACTTAAAAATATTGTATAAGTCGCCTTTAATAGGTAAGTATACTTCTTCTTTCAAAGGATTTTCGGTAAAATCCAATCTTTAAAATTTCAACTCACACTGAGGGCCTTTTACACTACCTACCTACCTACATACAAATACCGTTATATATTGCATTTTATTATACATATAGGATATTTAGACACTGATAAACAGACCCTTTTTAACTCTCAGGCCCTAAACAGGAGGGCCGTTCAGGCCGATGCTATTGTACATTATGCTACTTAACCCACAATTTTGGCATTGTAAAACAGGCCTTCATATCATAAATAAAACATCTCTACTTATAGAGCAGCTTCACAATATCTATACTAATATTATAAAGCTGGAGAGTTTGTATGTTTGGAACCGCTATCTCCAGAACTACTAGTTTGAATTCAATTTATTTTTTGTTTATCATTCATCGAGTATGTATTTCATTTATCGAGGAACGCTTTAAGCTCTAAAACATCACGCTACGATTTGCAGGAGCCGCTAGCAGCTAGCGAAACTGCGCGACAAAATCTAGTTTATTATAATTACTAATAAGACAGCAAAATCTACTTACTTGTTAGCAAAATCGATTTGTATCAATGAGTCAGCATCTTCTATAGTACTCAGGGGTTCCACGTGTAAGGGTATGGAGCCTAGTGGTATTGAAGACTTCGGCCAGGAGGGGCAGTCGCGGGGCGGCACCGACCGGCGGGTGAACGTCAGCGTGCCGACCGGGACTGTACTGCAACCATACGGGATTAAGCGGGACATACTACTAAGGCAGGATTACATAATGAGAAGTGAGAGTTTTTTTGTGATAATTCACATCAAATAAATAATTAGGTAAGTAAAATTTTCACCAAAAATGACAACACACACAAAATGTCCGCATCATTACCATAAAAAACATCAGTAAAAAAATTAAATAATTAATTAAATATACTATTGCAGTTAATTCTAACAGATGAAATGTAATCTTATCCAATTTTTTCGTAATTCCAGCCCCATTTTTACTCGTAGGAATAACGCACGACAGCATAATGAAATTAAAATTGATAGTCGTAAATACGTCACGTCATGCCACGTGCCAAAATTGACTGATCGTAGAAATTTCATACTACTCTAGTTAAGTTTTAGTTGCTTTGACGGCTTCTGGTTTGTTCTGTATTCTGAGGGAAAAATCATCAAATGAACTCTGCCAGCCCAGGGTCCAGGGCGAGAGAGACTGTCAGACTCTTACTAAAATCCCCCTGTTCCTTCTCTTGCTCTGGGCCGAGCCCGCAGAACCACGCTTACGTTGGCCGGAGATCGTCTCTCGAGAAGTAGAGAGTAGAGTTAAAATGGCAGATCCATACTGACTGTAGTTATTCCAAGGCCTCAAAGAAAACCGGCGCTATTTTTTTTATTATGTCTTTTCCTTGTACTAGGATTATTGCCTGTGTCATGGGTTCACTTACAAACATATAATTTCACATACACATCACACCCAGACCCGAAACAACAATTTGTGGATAACACAGAGTTGTTCCGTGCGGGAATCGAACCCGCTGCAGCAGCTCAACCGAAATGATCTCGGTTGTTAGTGAGATTACCAGGGGCCCAATCGTGACCTTCCCCCATCCCCAATCGTCACGAATACATAACAACCCTCAAAATTTTTATTTCGTGTTGTTCCAGTTACTATACAATCTCTCTTTACTTTAGTGCTAGCCACACCTCCTATACGAGCATTGTAGATAATCAAATATTGGATTTGTTAAGAATTGAACAGAATGTCACCTTTAGTCACAACTCTTCTGAAGTAATGACATATACACTTCAGTTTCTCCAAGTTGGCATTTGAGCTTGTTGACTCATACAGACCGGACCTGTAACAATGAAAATTAATTTATATTGTTATATTTTATTTGTTATATTTTTTACATCTCAAATAAAAACTTAGATATATTAACTATAGATTTTTCTGAAATTGTTAGGTCAAATAAAGATTCTACTGTTTATGTATTTTGTTTTATAAAAATAAATCAAATAGAATATTAGGTATATGATGAAATTTTTATTGCAATAAATATTAACGTAAAAAGTTCTTACGAGTTGAAATTAATGAAAGGATATGAAGCATATTCAGAAGTCTTCTTGGTAGCATTCCTTCTGGGAAATGTGCAAAAGAACGCGTTCGCAAGAAGACTCGCTATCTGTTGCTGGGATAGAGACACTGAGAAGTTCTTGTGTTGCCTGGAATAATACAAACAAATTTCATAATATTAATATTAATAAAAAACCTGATCTTGGAATGTAACAACAGAAATCTGTTGCTGAATTTCCAATATTCAAATGTATACAAAAATAAAAAAATCTAAAAGTCATAAGTCAAAATCATTTATTTCAATTAGACCCTTACATGCACTTTTGGATTTCAAAGAAAACTTTAAGACAAAAAGTGCCAGTCTGTCGAGCAGTCCTCATAGTGCAGCTAAATATATAAAAATAGGAAATAGCAGGCTGACAGATGATAATCGCATAATGAAATAGGTCTGTTATATAACTTATATAAAAAAAATGTTTTTTACAATCTGTAAAGAACTGAGTCTGATGTCAAATCAATTATAAAAACTAGAAAAAAAAACTTACTTGAGTAAAGGTATTGGTGCCTGCACCAATTTAGGTAGATCCAATGCAAGTTTAATAATCTCTGGTAGAGTAACATCAAAAAAATATTGAGTCTCCTCTTCTTCTAAATACTGCAATAAGAAACAGTGAAGGAACATGTTATGTACAAGGTACAACACAGTGCAGCCAAAACATACAAAAAACAATATTATATAAAAGAAAATGTTTATTAATTTAGGAGGAAAAATAATACTTTTAAATAAACTCATATTTTAACAATTATTAATTGAATAATGTAAGACTTTATTCAATTACCAAGCACTTAAATAAAGGAAGTCAATCAGTAGTATACATCAAATCATTGATTTCAATTAGAACAATGTACTGAACTTCCAGTTGTGGTATGTTCTTGAGTCTATTGGTCAGTCCACTACTGAAGCTATTTGTTTGTTTCAAAGTCCCCTATTGGTTATTCTTATTTAATCCGCTTCACCATTCAGTTCCACAATTTTATTTCAGAAAGTGAAATTGAATACATTGTATTCAATTAAATTAACCTTTGGGATTTATAGCATAAACAAACATACCTCATTAAAAAGTTTATGCAGTCCTTTGAACTTCCAAACATTTCGGAAGTTAGTGTTGTAGCTAAGTATTGCGTTGCCCAACTCATGGCTATTGCGTATTGGCTTTGAGAGAGCATTTTCAATCATCTTCCAGCGTTTCTTGAGATGTTTCTCACCATTATTCTGCGATACAGATTAGGTATGTTTCATTATAAGTTATATAACAATTGCTTGCATTAAGAATAAGGCAAAAATATGTTTGATGGCCAGAGTGATGGCCCACACACAATTCCTGGGTGAAACTAGGCTTCATCATTTCAATGAGGTACCTAGACTCAATCCTTTCCATCTATCCCCCAATCCCCAATCCTCTAATCCCTAACAACATAATATGAAAGGCCAGCAACATACATGAAACTCCTATAATAGTAAGTTTTTGTGTGTGATGACTTATTAGCCCAGTATACAGTTAGGTATTATTTTCAACAAATTTATTGCAACTCATTACACTGCGATAATTTTACAAAAAAATTGAATTATCAAAAATGGTCTTATCAGTTAACTGTTACTATCAATCAATATCACAAGCTTATTAATGAAAAACACATTGAGGTTGAGATATATTGTATAACATAAAAGCTATCCCAAGGGGTGGAGTACCTGGAAAGACAGGAAAATAGATAATGTCTAATGTTCATGTACGAATTTTGTTAGGTACTTACATCCACAACAGGGTAAAGACTCTGATCAGAACAAGGCATCCGGACATGTTCAGAATCCCATTTGTCTTGTCCTATCTGCGGCTTCGGTGGCCTGTCAGTTGCCAGACATCCACTGCTTGGTACATGGTACAATACTGCATGGTTGTAAGACGGTGAAACGAGACTGAACTCTGGAGCTCCCCACGGAGACTGTGACCCGTATAACTCACTCAAAGGCACACCTCTCCAATTGTTATCATTACCACCATCCATATCCATATTCATTGTACTTGAATACGACCAATTTTTGATATTCTTGGCTGTAAATAACAAATGTTTACTACGTGACTACGTCGCAAATCGATAAGATTTACTACCGTTTGTTGCTTTCAAAACGCACTTATTATCGTTACACAGACATTTAATGCCGGCTTTGAAACGAATTTCATCGAGTTTTCTTGATAATGTTATTAACTTTACAATATTAACTTTTCCCGCTCAGCAAAATGAATGAGATTAGAAATCCTATGAATCCAATTTATGAACACACTGACACTTCGTTGTCGTTCCGTTTCACACCATCATTAACAAACATCAATGTCAAACAAACTACTAACGTCAAATCCGTATTGTAAGTAATGGTCATCGATCACTAATAAAGATTATTAGTGATCGATGGTAATGGTACAAAATATAACTACATTAGATAAGTAAAGTTGGTAAACATTTTTTCTTTATCAAGTGCTACATAATCAGAGCACTTTTGAGGGTATTAGCAATCATCGCATTTAGAAAAGTATTTAGTCATTTGTGTTGTTCTTATAAGTTGTTTTGAATTTTTAAGATCTAAAATGTAAGATCTAAAATCTAAAATGTACTGTTGTATAAATAAATCGTTATTTGAATTATGTTGTAATTGTATAACTGAAAATAATATAGTTATGTAACTAAATTACGATACGTCAAACAAAAAACACCCAAATGAAAACAAAACGCATCTATAGTTCGTTCCATAATTAGAGACAACGATTTGACATTTCGAGTGTTGCAAGTTTTTTCCATTTCATAAATAGTGAAGTCCCGCGACCGGTATTGACCGAAAGACCGAAATCAAATTCTGGACTTTGTGCATTTTGAAAGCTTTATTATTTTTAGCTTCTTTCCCTGGTACCTTCCTGTGCCCATACAGTTGGTTTAAAATCACAATGGTAAGGAGGCAACCGTAAACTAGTGACCCCCCTTTTAGCAGCCATCAGTCCACGACGTATCGTTCATAATTAGGTACTCTTCTCTTTCCGGGAAATCTCCAACAGCTCGGCTTTCAGCATAAGTTCCTCAAATATAATGTTTTTCTTTTAGCCAGTCTTGAATTTCGCATTTTTATTTTATAACATTATTATTAATTTGACTAAACTATAAAAAACATCACCGCAACGTTGTTTTATTTTGCTCAGGGTATTGTTACGTGCCTGACGTCACGTTCCTGACTATGCGGGCTTAGGTTACGGGATTGGATGAAATTAAACACTAATACCGGTTTTCGGACTTTCTATTGTACTTAAGTGACAGCGTCCACGGAGTTTGGTAATCGGCGTTCCTCTCCAGCAGAGTCCGGCCAACTGACACAACTTTGCTGTTCACGCTGACTTAACTCACTGCACTTCACTGTTTCACTGCACCTCACTATTTCACTCACTTTTCTTCTTTTTCACCTCTTCCTTTTCTTCCGAATCGCTTTGGACTTAGAACTCAACTGCCAGCGGTGAGCCGCAGTTCTGCTTATATACCCCCGGTCAGGTTCTGGAACATTCAATTTCGTTATTCTTTTTGATCGTCATGCCTCCAGAACCTTCCAATAATTTCGCTATTCATTTTTATTTATTCTCCTTCTCACTCTTTAATTTTTCATCTCTTTCACACAAATAATTCCAGAAAATTCGACAAAACTTCCATCAACTAAAAACTTCATGTTTACGGCGGGACTCGAACTCGGGGTCTCTGTGGTGTAATCCACACGCCTTACCAATTACACCAACTCGTATTGACAATTCACGACGAAATTTACAATCTCTAGGCAACGTTTGACAACCATCCATTGACGTCATGATGTCAAAGAGTTTGAACCACTTTTCCGTCACACTGCCCCCCTCTTAGATTCGCTCGTCCCGAGCATCGTTGCTGCCGTAATACCTCGCCAACCTGTCTATATGGACAACTTTCAAAGGGCTCCTTGAAGTCTTCCGAATTCTGTAAGTAATGTCATTGATCTTCGTGACTATCTCATAAGGACCTTCCCAACTCGGTTGCAGCTTCGGAGATTTTCCCTTCCTTCTGACTGGATTATGAAGCCAGACCAATGACCCCTCTTCAAACCCAACAGAATTGGCTCGTCGATCATAGCGCGTCTTTGCGCGATCACTAGCTTGAAGACCGGCCTCCCTGATCTGCTCATAAATGTCCAACATTTTTGCCCTTAACTCGCTTATGTAATCGCTAAATTCGGTGCGAGAGTCGCCAGGTGGACAGCCCGATACAAGATCTGCCGGTAATCTCAATTCCCTTCCAAAATTTGCAAATGCAGGCGTCTTTGCGGTACTTTCATGTACAGCAGTCCGATAGGCAAGCAAGAAGAGAGGTATGTAAGTGTCCCAATCTCTCTGATGGCTGTCAACCACCTTTGCTAAGTGTCGTTCCAATGTTTGGTTGAAACGTTCGACCATTCCATCTGACTGTGGATGATAAGGGGTCGTTCGAGTCTTATGGATTCCCAAAAGTTTACAAGTTTCCTGAAAAACTTGGGACTCAAAGTTCCGTCCTTGATCACTGTGCATCTCCAAGGGCACTCCGAATCGGGTGAATACCTCGTTTACCAACTTCGTGGCTACAGTTACTGCCTCTTGATTCGGTATGGCAAAGACCTCCGGCCATTTTGTAAAATAATCCATAACGACTAAAACGTAGCGATTGCCCGAATCAGTGATTGGAAATGGTCCAGCGATGTCTAAGGCTATTCTCTCCCAAGGCATACCAACATTGTAGATTTTCATCGCCCCTCTGCTTCTTGTTTGTGGACCCTTGACAGCTGCACAACTAGTGCATTTCCGGCACCAATCTTCGACGTCATATTTGCAATGCAACCAATAAAACCTCTCCTTGATCTTCACCAAAGTCCTCCTAATTCCCAAATGTCCTCCAGAAGATCCATCATGGAACGCTTTTAATACATCCCTTATTTTTGAACGAGGCACCACCAATTGCAAATGCTCGTCCTTGCCGTTTGTTGATTCCCATTTCCTGCACAGAAGTCCGTTATGCAGCGTAAGGCTTTTCCACTGTGCCCATAAACCTTTCGTTACCGCGCTATATTGGGCGACATCACTCCAACTTGGCTTGTTACCACTTCGTAGCCACTCCAGTATTGGTTTAATATCTGCATCTCTTTCCTGTTCTAATTTCATCGCATCATCTCCCCATGCCTCGTCAACAGTATCAGTCCTTATCACCTTAAGAAAAGCAGTTTCCTTCTTGGAACAATGCTTGCAATCTTCCACGCATGGGCGTCTCGATAATGCATCTGCGTTGCCATGAATTCTTCCTCCGCGATGTTCGATTTCAAAGTCAAATTCCTGAAGTTGTTCCAACCATCTGGCTACTTGGCCTTCGGGATCCTTAAACTGAAGCAGCCATTTCAAAGCAGCGTGATCAGTTCTAATCAAAAATTTCCGTCCCAGTAAATACTTCTTGAAATGATGCAGAGTTTTGACTACGGCCAGCAATTCCCTCCTGGTCACGCAATAATTCCTCTCGGGCTTGGATAGTGACTTGCTGAAGTAAGCAATAACCTTCTCCTGCTCACCATCGCGTTGTGAAAGGACACCTCCTATTCCAATATTGCTGGCATCCGTATCTACTACGAATATTCCTTTCGCGCTGGGATATCCGAGAATTGGTGTGTTACAAAGCCGTTCTTTTAGTTCTCGAAAGGCTTGCTCACAATCCTCGTCCCAAACAAAGGCACGTTTATCCTCTGTCAATCGATGCAATGGCTTGGCAATGTCCGAGAATCCTTTCACAAACCGCCGATAATACGAGCACAATCCAAGAAATGCCCGAACTTGCGTTTTGTCTTTAGGTGTTGGCCATTCCTTGACAGCGACAGTCTTGGCTGGATCAGTCTCAATTCCTCTCTCAGAAATAACATGTCCTAGATAATTCACTTCGCGCTTGAAGAAAGAGCATTTCTTTGGACTCAACTTTAAATTTGCTCCACGCAGCTTGTCGAGTACCTTTTCCAATTTCCTTAGATGATCGTCAAAATCCCGTCCAACAATGATGATGTCATCGAGGTAAACTAGGCAGGTTTCTCCCAGCAGTCCCGCCAGCACCTGTTCCATCAAACGCTCAAAAGTTGCCGGTGCATTGCATAATCCAAATGGCATCACCTTAAATTGCCAGAGTCCCTTCCCAGTTGAGAATGCGGTCTTTTCCTTGTCCTTGGGATCCAAATCCACCTGCCAATAGCCGCTTTTCAGATCGAGCGTTGAAAACCATTTCATGCCACTCAATGTGTCAAGTGTGTCATCGATTCTTGGTAATGGGTAGCTATCCTTCTTGGTTACATCATTCAATCGTCGATAGTCTACGCAAAACCTCGTTGAACCATCTTTCTTCTTGACAAGCACGACAGGTGAACACCAAGGGCTAGAAGAGGGCTCTATCACGTCATTTTTCCTCATATCGTCAATCATTTCTTCAACCTCTTTCTCACGAGCGAATGGTATGCGTCTGGGCCTTTGACGAATTGGCATTGTATCACCTGTGTTTATTTTATGCTTCACCAAACCAGTTCGGCCAATATCACCATCGCTTCTTGAAAACACATCAGAGAATCGAAGAAGTAAATTTCTAGCTTTCATAGTCTCCACTTTTGTCAGACTTTTGTTTTCGTCTAAGATTTTCGTTACAAAGTCAATTCCCGTACTGTCCTTCTTCACAAGATTCTCCGAGCATTTTCTTATCCAGGCCACTTCTTCCAATACGCCCACAGGCTCTCCTTCTTCAATCGTAATTTCTGAGTCACTGAAGTTGAATACCGGAATGCGGTTAACATCAGATGACCCCACAACAGTTCTTGCCGGTAGCCATGAATTCACGTGTTCCGATTTATCAATCACAGCGCACCTTCGAGGTAAACTTCCTTCCTTCCTCCTAGGTAATGCGATTGGTACGAGAGTCTGTGATTTTGGTGCAAGAACAGTTCTTCTTAAACAGCAAACTTTTCCCAGGGTTCCACCCTTCATCGGAATTTCCTCAGTTCCACATTGTAAAACTCCAGATTTTAAGTCGATGTTACACTGGTGCCCTTGCAGGAAGTCAAGTCCCAGGATGCAGTCATCCAGAATTTTGGCCACAATAACCTCATGTCGATAAACACGTTCCCCAATTTTGATTGTTACATGCAGTTTTCCACTTATCGGTATGCACTGGCCGGTAGCTGATTTCATTTGTAGGCCAACAATTGGTTTAAGGTGTTTCCTGATGTTTTGCTCGAGCAGCCGAACATTTATCACCGTCCTTGAAGCTCCAGTATCTAATGTTAGCTGACTGTTTTTCCCATTTACTTGACCGTCTATCACCAGAGTATTTCCATCGTTGGTTTGCTTGATGTAGATTGTTGGGGTTGTTCCACTACCAGCCAGCGCCCACCCCGCAGCCCTGGCTGGATTTAAGTTTCCCTGCTGGTCAGAAGTTGAGACCGCCGCGTCCTGGCGGTTCATCTTCTTCGGGCAGTCGCTCCGTATGTGCCCACGCTCTCCACATCCATAGCACATGAAGTTCAGACGGCGTGGAGGTACCTGCTCCGTTGTCGTCATTTCCCGCAGACGTAAGGTACGGGAGCTACCACGCACGGCTTCCACTTCCAATGCATGGGCCAGAGCTTCTTTCATGTTCTTGTGATGGCCCAGATGAACAGCGGCTCGTACTTCGGGGTCCCGAATACCGTCAATGAACGCTTGGAGAAGCGTGCCTTCAATCATTGACGGAGTCGACCGGAAAGCTCGACGCACAAGTTTCTCGATTTCCACGGACCATTGCTGTAGGCCCTCATTAGCACGCTGAGTACGCTCTTTTAATTGCGCTCTGTACACGTGCTCGAGGTGGCTGTCTCCAAAACGTGCCTCAAGTGCGTCGAGGAGGGCACTAAAGCTGAGATCCCCACTTGCGCCGATAGCTTCCAGCACTGAAAGCGCTTGATCACGGAGGGCCAGGGTAAGGGCTGACTGTGCTTCCTTCTGAGTCCAACCATAAGCCTCCATAAGTGTCTCAAACTGTAGCTTGAACGCGGTCCAGGATGTTGTTCCGTCGTAATGGGGAATCTTAAGCCCTTTCGTTGCACTTGAAGCCGCATTTGGGGTTTCAAAAACGGCTGCAAGACGGCTTCGGCTCTTCAAAGGGCTTGGGCTTGTCACTTCCTGCTTGATTTTGGAGATCTCTTCTTCCACTCTCTCCTCTATCGCCTTGACGCGATGTTCCAACTTGCCTAACCCTTCCTCCACTTCTTGTACCCGTTCGACAGCCTTTTGCAGTCCCTTCGTGAAATCCTTATGCATCTCTTTCAGCTCCCGTAGCTGCTCCGCCTGACAGTGTGCTTGCTCCCGTAGCTGTTCTGCCTGACAGCGTGCTTGCTCCTCTTGGCGGCGCGCTTGCTCTTCTTGGCGGCGCGCTTGCTCTTCTTTCAGCTCCCGCAGCTGTTCTGCCTGACAGCGCGCTTGCTCTTCTTGGCGGCGCGCTTGCTCTTCTTGGCGGCGCGCTTGCTTTGCCATCATTTGCTGCAGCTGTAGCAGAAGATCCACCTGCACAGGCTTGGCTTCTGCATCGCTGGTTTGAGCTGCAGCACCCTCTTCCCTCACACGCTGCGCTTCTGACATTGAACGGGTACTCACTCCTCTTACGTCCTGCGGCACTAGCGGCATTTTTCTCCAATCCCACTTCTGACACCAAATGTTACGTGCCTGACGTCACGTTCCTGACTATGCGGGCTTAGGTTACGGGATTGGATGAAATTAAACACTAATACCGGTTTTCGGACTTTCTATTGTACTTAAGTGACAGCGTCCACGGAGTTTGGTAATCGGCGTTCCTCTCCAGCAGAGTCCGGCCAACTGACACAACTTTGCTGTTCACGCTGACTTAACTCACTGCACTTCACTGTTTCACTGCACCTCACTATTTCACTCACTTTTCTTCTTTTTCACCTCTTCCTTTTCTTCCGAATCGCTTTGGACTTAGAACTCAACTGCCAGCGGTGAGCCGCAGTTCTGCTTATATACCCCCGGTCAGGTTCTGGAACATTCAATTTCGTTATTCTTTTTGATCGTCATGCCTCCAGAACCTTCCAATAATTTCGCTATTCATTTTTATTTATTCTCCTTCTCACTCTTTAATTTTTCATCTCTTTCACACAAATAATTCCAGAAAATTCGACAAAACTTCCATCAACTAAAAACTTCATGTTTACGGCGGGACTCGAACTCGGGGTCTCTGTGGTGTAATCCACACGCCTTACCAATTACACCAACTCGTATTGACAATTCACGACGAAATTTACAATCTCTAGGCAACGTTTGACAACCATCCATTGACGTCATGATGTCAAAGAGTTTGAACCACTTTTCCGTCACAGTATTTTATAAAAAAACGGTATCGGTATTTTATTTAAAACATCGTACTCGGGCCCATCACTATGTTAAAAAATCTGGCCACATTATTTTGTAGTTTGACATTTGCTGTTGTCAAATTGTTGTCTCTAATTATGGAACGAACTATATGCAAAGTATGTCTGTCACTCTGTCAATTGTCAATGTCAAATTGTAGCGTTGGGTATTTTGTACCTTGTAGTCAGTAGTTACATAGCGTTACTAATTTTCAATTTATAAGTATTCATTGACGTAATACGTGATATATTTTAACCCTAAATATATCTATTTACCATTACATATATACTTTTATAAATATGAATTTAGAATTACTCGGTAAGTGTGTGTCAGATAAAAACCATGCACTTTTGCACTGGTTGCGTTGTTATGTTATTGTTTACATATTTATTTATCTTTTTCAGAATCATTTGGACAAAATTATCCGGAGGTACGTTAATACTAATTATAATTATGTAGCATAATTATTGTTATATTAACATGAGGAGACACTGTTGTTTAGTTCAATCAAGAGATGTACTTTTCTTACTTTTTACGCCGGCACAATTACAAATTAGCACCACCTACTGATATAACCACGCATCTTTCATAACAATAACTAATAAAAACGAAGACACACGTTTCTATATTTGTGTAAAATAATAAATTTGAAATTCAAATAATTTCTTTTCAGGAATTTGATGGTACCCTAGACTCAATATCATTGGCAGCAACATGTGCATTCAATAGACGAGGGACTTTATTAGCAGTAGGGTGTAATGATGGTAGGATATTTATATGGGACTTCTTGACACGGGGGATAGCTAAATCAATATCAGCTCATGTCTATCCTGTCTGTAGCCTTAGCTGGTCAAGGAATTGTAAAAAGGTAATGTATTTTTATTGTAAACTTAGAAAATCATTTACACATACATAATGTATTTTCATGCTTGTCTCCAAAAAGTAGAGACAATGGAATGGCAAATGATAATATTACTATTATTTAATTATCAATTATTTTCTTTTCAAATATCATTCAATTTACTTCTAATGTGTATATATCTCTTTACTTGCCCCAGTTTGCTATAAAAAATCTATATAAGAAAATTATAAAGAAATATATGACAGTAATTAAAAGTAAACACATGTACTTATAAGGTTCATTTTTGTCTACAGCTCCTTTCAGCCTCAACAGATCACAATGTATGTATATGGGATGTTTTATCTGGAGAATGTGAACAACGCTATAGATTTCCCACACCTATCTTAAGAGTACAATTTGATCCGAGAAATGACAAGAGATTCTTAGTGTGTCCTATGAGGCATGCTGCACTGCTGGTTGATACGGACGGGGAACACAAAATATTACCTATAGATGATGATGTATGTATTAACTTTTTGGCACCATTACAGCTTTTATTTTTCGTATCAGATTTTTTTTTAATATCTACTAGTGTTACAAACCCAAGGTCCTTAACTCACGACTGCTTTTGTAGCTCTGCTGTTCACGAAAAACATGTGCACGCATCTCTACTATAAACAGTCAGCGGCTACTGTATCAATATATGATCCTTTACTGTTTTACGGGATTTATCGCGCACGTACCTTTTATTTGTATTTTGCTTGACGTTTCGGCAGGGATACACCTGCCATGGTCACAAGCAAACTGTTCGGCGATAATACTCCGTCGATGAAGGTGATTGATTTTCATCTACCCTCGATGTTATTAAGTGACTACCATAAAGCCGCGTAGACACTACACTCATTGTGTCCGGTTTTTTAGCCGACTTTTTTTTTTACTTGCAATAAACTAGTGCTTGACTGCGATCCCACCTGATGGTAAGCAGTGATGTAATCGTTGATGGTAAGGCGCACTAGTTTATTAAGAGCCTATTCACTCTAGCCTTAAAATCGCGATCCCTAGATCTCACGCGGCGGATAGTTTGAATCCTTCTGCCCGCCAAACAGTCTGCTTGTGACCTTGGCACGTGTAACCCTGCCGAAACGTTAAGCAAAAAAGAAATAAAAGGTACGTGCGCGTTAAATCCCGTAAAACAGTAAAGTATTAATATGCAATACAAAAGTTTAATGTATGATCGCTATGAGTTATTAATGTATCGCTACTAAAAGTCGGCGTGGAGAAGGCGGCCGTAGAAAATTAGTATCAAGTCAAAATTACCTATTTCAATGGTTTTACTTTCACTTAATTTATTTGCAGGGCGACATAAATGTAATAGCCTCTTTCGACAGAAGAGGTGACCATGTCTACACAGGCAATGCTAAAGGGAAGATATTAATTCTAGACACACAGAGTTTAGCTATAAAGGCTAGCTTTAAAATTACAGTCGGAACATCAAGCACAACTAGCATCAAAAGTATAGAATTTGCAAGAAGAGGAGAGTAAGTTTCAAATATATACCTATCCTTTTTTTTTATAAAAATGTTGCTCTACACTAGGATTTTCTCCTGTCTCATGAGTGCGTTTACAAACATACAAATTCACATACATAAGCCACCCAGACCCGAAACAATTTGTGGATCACCCAAAGTGTTATAACGAGGGGAAATCGCACACGCGACACTTAAAATCGGATTTCTGTGTTTAATTTCTTTTCTAAAACAAATTTTTAAACTACATATTCACTTGGTAACTCAATAATCTTATGATTTCAGCTGTTTTCTAGTAAACACATCGGACCGTGTGATTCGTGTCTACGACACTAACACAGTCCTGAAGTGCGGCGTCAACGGCGAGCCAGAGCCTATACAGAAACTACAGGATCTTGTCAATAAGTAAGACACATAATCATTTTTATCGTCGATGTTATTATATTACAAATGCAAAACTTTGTAGACATATGTTTATTACTCTTTTACGTAACAACCACTGAATAAATTTGTATGAAGTATGGCATACGGATTAATTACAGTCTAAATAAAACATGGGCTTCTTTTTGTCCTAGTAATAAAGGCGAAGCCGTAGTAGATTCTTATATAAAGCATGTATGACTATGGATTAATAATATAAAAATAGTAGCTCCCATACATTAGAGTGTAGACAAAAATTAAACTCATATATCCTCCACTACTACATTGAAACCTTTTTCAACTTTTTCCATGATACCCTTAAAACCTATAGATTACTTTTTGTTGGATTGTTTTGTTACATGATTATAAAACAAGAAAAATATATAATCTCAGTTATATTGTATTTCTTAGTACACAATGTATAATTTTAAATAGAGAAAAAAGATTTAATTTATTTTTTTGTCTATACGATAAGAACTACGTGGAAGAAATGCTGTTTCTCTGGTGACGGTGAATACATTTGCGCCGGATCAGCTCGGCAACACGCCCTCTACATTTGGGAGAAATCCATCGGAAACCTTGTCAAGATCCTTCACGGGACTAAAGGAGAGTTACTTCTAGACGTAGTGTGGCATCCCATTAGACCGATCATTGCTAGTATTAGCGCTGGTAAGTGTCTTTTGTAAATTACTTATTTAAGAAAGTCGAATGTGTTGGCTCGACCCATGTAACACCACGGAATATCGCCGTGTGAGAGAGGTTACCGGAGGCCCAATCCTTCCCCTCCCCAATCCCTAATTCCTAAAAGGTCGGCAACGCTATAATAACTCCTCTGTTGTTGGGTGCCTTGGGCGGCGCTGATTGCTTACCATCAGGTAATCGGTCTGCTCGTTTGCCAACCTATCACATAAAAAAGTAGTGGAAACATTTTTTTAGAGTGAAGACCTATTAATATTTACTGGTCCTCTCTTCATATTTGCATATTTGTGTTTAAAAACTATTTGCTCACGATTAGCAGATTGAAACTCAACCTCTATTATAACACTTACAGGTGTAGTATCAATATGGGCGCAGAACCAAGTGGAGAACTGGTCAGCCTTTGCACCGGACTTCAAAGAGCTGGACGAGAATGTGGAATACGAAGAACGGGAGAGTGAGTTTGATGTAGAAGACGAAGACCGCTCAGTAGACCAGGCTGGAGAGAGCCATGATGACGAGGAAGTTGAGGTATGTAGGAAGGCACAATAAAATACGCTTTTCTACAATATATTGATGATATTATAATGAGTGCAGGTCATAATATACTTAAACTAATATTATAAGGTACTGTAAAGATTGTTTGCCTGTATTCATCAAGCTTCGAAATAACTTGGCCTATTTGAAAAAATATCTCACTGTTGGGAAGCTTCACTATTCCTGGTGAACAAATGCTGTAAACCACGCTGATGTAACTGCAGGACATAGTTAGTTAACTATATCTATGATTGTCACTAAAAATTGTACAATATACAATATATTGTAGATTTTTTATTATTATATTATTATTTATTATGGTTAAACAAATGTATGTAGAAGTTTTTCATGTCATATTTTTTATGAAAAAACATTTTTATTATATTTCTTCCATTCGGAACAGGTGGATGTGACTACTTGCGAACCTGTAGCAGCTTTCTGCAGTTCCGACGAGGAGGGAGAGGACGAACACATGCTGTCCTTCTTACCCATTGCACCTGAAATCGAAGATCCAGAGGTATGTAGAAATGCAACATGAGAAAATAATCTTACTATCGTTTTCCGCATTTTGAGAACAAGACTCGTGTTGGGATCCCAATGCAGGAACCGACACTGATACACTTGCGCAAAAATAAACGTCAGGTCTCTTTGGTGGTATAAAGATATAGCATTCGCCGGATTGGGAGGGCAATTCTTGTTCATTAGATCGCCCTGAGTCGCATTAAAGACGTATTGTTACACATATCTATCTACATGTCTACAATATGCAAAGCGATCCTTACTCATTCGCCGAACGCTATATATTATAGTACCTGAGTGCCTACTAAAAATTCTGTCTTCTGTACATTAACCCTATTGATAAGTTTTCGCGTCAGCGTCTTGGTGGTTGGCTAACTTAACGCAGACCAATCAAAACGCTGAACGAAATAAACGTTCCAATCCCCGTAACGTTGGTAAAGCAAAATCGCACTAGAAACTCTGTACCCTTTTTAACCTCCAGCACGTAGTTGTAGTGTAGTAACGCCCATATTTTGTGTACCTACATATGTATATTATTAGGTTTAAAAGTCACATTAACATCAACTAAAAATGTTTACTACTGCTGGTTGTTGTTGACATAAGATGCTCCGGTTCGACCGCTCAGCGTGTAGCAACACTTACCTACGTTGTTTCGCCTTGTGAGTGAAGTTATCGGAGGATCAATTACCACCAATTAATCCTCAAATCAACTTTCCTTAATAACCCACAAGAGGCCAGCAACGCACGTTTAGTTACTCTTGGTATTACGAGCGTCCATGGCGCCGATTGCTTACTAGATATCAAACAATCCAGCACTGCAGCTCGCTTGACCGAAAAAAAAACTCCATGCAAATAATATCACATTATCACCCGGTTTTCCAGGATGGATGGGCAGCCACGCAGGAAACTGTAACACCGACAGAAACACCTGAGAAACTGGAGCCAGCTGCTAAAAGGCCGAAAAGCAAAACGTACGATATATCGCTCAAGATAGCGCCACCTGGTGAGTTTAATTGTTTTATTTGATTTCTTATAAGGTTGTACAATCTCCAACTGTAGATGACGTCACCATTTGCTGATGCAGTAAACGGTCTACTACAACTACCTTCAGCGTAACTAAACAATACGGTAGTTTCCAACTAGTCAAATTCAATACTTTAATCCAAATGTCAAAAACTATTTCTTTCCTTTCTCATAATATATTTGCGTCAAATAGCGAACGTATCGATCGATCGGTGAATAACTATACTTTTAAGTAGTTATTTTTCAATATTTTATAGTATTGAAACATCGAATTAATTTATTTTTGACCCAGGAAACTACCCAAATTGTACTTTATCGTACAAAGATGTTTTCATTATCCTTTTTTATTGACTCTCCTTTTTTGCGTAATGTTATAAAATGCTTATGACTTCTAAAATATAACTGATACTAACTGGATACAAATCTGCCTACGTTTTACTTATCGGCAATATCAGACTGCGGATAGTTCATCTAAACGTAATTACTTATAATCATTTTTCTTTCCAGAACAACCTCTGTCATTCGGTGGCAAAAACAAAACAGCAGCGGGTAGTAAAAAAGTTGCTGGAAGACCTCGGAAATAAAGTATTTAATTACAGCTCGGTTTTATTTTTATGTATTGATACATACGGATAAATATTATTATAATGACACCGCAATGTATATTAGTGATGCATCCGATATCGATAAAAAATAATAAATATTTATATTATAACATACTTTATTTTTGGTAAATCGTATAAATGCTATTGGATCGTTGATGCATTCCTAATTATAACACAGATATAAGACTTAATGAAATGTGAAATGATTGTACAAATAAAACACGTTACTTGTAGGAGAAAACATTTATTTTTTCAAAAAAAATGTCATCGATCTCTTTAATAAAATTCGTATTCAGAGTATACTGTAAGTACCTATCGGTCGTATATAAATAAATCTCACTTAAACATAACCAAAATAATAATACATTCGCCTATTCGAGACCAAAAAGACTCAAAATATATAATATTTACTTCCTATCGCTAAACTAAATCTCCTACGCTAACACATAATATCGTACAGGGCGAGCCGCGACGTGCGGCGCATAAATATAATTATCTATCGCTCGGTATCAGTATGTACAGCGCCCGATGGGCCCCGTCACGCGTCCATGTCGTCCTCGTGCTGACTGGAGAAGTAGCTAACCAGGCCCCCGAACACCGAGCCCCCCTCCGCCCCTTCCGCGTCGGGCAGCCCCGCACGCGGGGGAGCGACGCCTGCCTCTGTCTTCACAGCGAGCAGGGGCGCGGCGGCCAGCTCGTCCCGCGCGGCCGGGGACGTCCGCGACACTTCGGTGAACTGCGGCGCGAACGGCGCGCCCACTGGGCTGCCGCGCCCCGCCGACACCCCCACGTAGGCCGGCGGACGCAACATCGGCCGCAAGTGTGCGGGTAGGAAACCCGGCCCGGGGGGGGCCGGCGGCACTGGACCATGGGGACCTCCGTGCGCTGGGGGACCGAGCGTTGGCGGCCCGTGTGTAGGTGGGGCGCCGTGGCCTGGGGGGCCGTGAGTAGGAGGCCCATGTGTAGCATGTCCCTGCCCTGGCGGCCCATGAGGAGGAGGCCCGTGCGCTGGAGGGCCATGCGGTGGTGGACCGTGTGTAGGAGGGCCGTGCACTGGCGGCCCATGCGTAGGTGGCCCGTGTGTTGGCAGCCCGAGCGATGCAGGGCCATGCGATGCCTGCCCGTGGGTAGGGGGCCCGTGTGAAGGCGGCCCGTGCGTGGGTGGGCCATGTCCAGGGGGCCCGTGGGCGGGCGACTCTAACGAGTGTGGCCTTTCTAATGAATGAGGCCTTTCCAGAGATTGTGGTCGCTCTGAAGACGCGGGGCTCCGAGGTCGTGCTTCAGCTGCATAAGGATTATGTAAAGGAGGAGGCCCTCGGGGTCCAGGCGGCCCTGGACGATCTGCGGGCCCAGGACCTGGCGCATAAGGACCGTAAGGTCCATACTGTGGGGCGTACGGCCCGAGAGGGAACCTCGGTCGTCGGTCTTTGTTCTCCGTATGTTTTATTTTGGGATGTCTGGGTGGCTCGTCACGTGGCGGGGTGGGTTCCCTTGCTGGTGATCCAGCAGGAGAATTATATTCTGGTTCAGTTTTAACCTCTGCCTTAATCCGCACAGGCGGCTCATGTTCTGATGGTGGCGTAGACCGTGGGGGAGCCGATGGTGATGCGGAAGGAGGATCTCGACCTTGTAGTGCTCCAGCGAGAGGACCCACTAAACCTGGCGCCATACCGCGAAGTACAGCGAGCGGTCCGCCTGGGCCTGACAGGCCTGGGTTCGGTAGTCCATGTGGGCTGGAAGTGGGAGGCATCGCACTGGGAGGGCCGGGTGCGTGCGGTCGATGTAAGCCGAGCGGTCCGTGGCCAGGGTGCGGCGGCCCGTGTGGCGGGAGGCCGTGACCAGGGGGAGTGGGGCCGTGGCCGGGAGGAGGTCCGTGTCCTGGTGAAGGTCCATGACCAGGAGATGGGCCGTGCCCGAGTGGTGGACCGTGACCTGGAGGAGGTAGGCCATGACCGGGGGGCGGTCCGTGGCCGGGAGGAGGGCCATGACCGGGAGGAGAGGGTCCAGCGTGGCCTGAGGGTCCGTGAGTGCTGGTAGGAGGTCCGTGGCCGACAGGCATGGGCCCGTGGGCGGCCGAGGGCGGGCCGTGCGGCATGGGATGTCCCCTGAGGTTGGGTGCGGGCGAGGTGGCGGGGTAGGGGCGCGCGGGGTACCCGGCGTGGGGCCGCACGTGCGGGTAGTAGTGCGCCAGCGGGTACATGGCGCCGCCCGCGCCGCGCGACCCGTACGACGCGCCGCCGCCGTACATCATCGGGCCTCTACAGAACAAACTCTATATTATACACAATACACTAAACCAATTTAAGTATCTAAAGATATTCATTCAGCTAAAGACTAGAAATAAATTTATAGGTATAGATATTATTTCTATATACAAAACATGATCGATTTCATTTGAGAATGGCACTGTGACTTTGGGTAGGTATTTAAAGTTGTCATTATGACCACACAACACTTTAAACACGATATTATCATCGCTACAATCGCTGAAGTAACTTCAAAACCATGGCAATAATTCCCTAACAATCTGCACTTTAAAATAAATATACAAAACCTAATATTAGATTGAATAATCCTCACCTGTATTGTTGATTAATCATATGCGGCATCCGTGTAATAATACTGGGCTCCTCCGTGATCGGCTTGAACGGCTGCGGCGATCCAGCTACTGAAAGCGTACCTGGATATTATAACATTGGTTTTATGAAGAAACAATACATTAAAAGCCAAATAATATACGGACAATGTGTCACAGTGTAAACACAAAAACCTTGCAAGTACTGATTAAATTATAAAACTGAATTTTATTTTTTTAACACTCTTGAAAACAAAAGCATTTCTCACAACAACTCACACTTGTTTTTCATTCCATGAGCATCATTGTGAAATTTGCAAAAAAAGTTTTTTTTTATGGGATAATTCGGCAAACGAGCAGACGCATTACCTGATGGTAAGCAATCGGCGCCGCCCATGGACACCCGCAACACCAAAGGAGTTACGAGTGCGTTGCCGGCCTTTTGGGGATAGGGGTTGCGGATATAAGGATTGGGAAGGGATAGGGGAAGGGGAGGGATTGGGCCTCTGGTAACCTCCCTCACACGGCATTAATGTTATATTTTGATAATAATCTTCCTATAAGAAGATTGAAAATGTGTGTATCAGAATACAATATACAAAATCAATGTCTACAATAACCATAACAATTGAAATGAAAATTAGCTAGTTATCGTACCTTCCCTGAGGGCGGCGACGTGGTCGGGGCGAGCATGTTGTCGTTCCTCCCCAGTCAGTACCCCGCGAAGCTCGGCACGCACCTGCAATATCAATCGCATATTATTGCACTATGTATACGTAAAAAAAAAACAAAATATATAATGCATATTATGTACGTATGTAAATTATATTGTATATTCATCATATAAAGTTAAAAAAGAATCATTTACCTGTAGCCTAGGTGTAGTAGGAAACCGCGGTTGTTCATGGAAATCATTAGGCATATGCGGCGAAGGTCCAAAGCCATGTGGCCTTGGCCCCGGTCCGCCTGGCCCACCAGGCCCAATAGGCCCACCAGGTCCAATTGGAACACCGGGTCCACCCGGCCCACCGTACGACATAGGAGGACCCACAGGGAACTCCATTTTCTCTTTCTTAATTCTCTTGTTTTCTTGCATCGCTAGTCGCGCAAGTCGTTTCTCTTCCCGTTCTTTCGCCTTCATTTCTTTCATTTTTTCTTTTTCTTCTTTCTTTTGTAATCTTTCTACTTTCTTTGCTTCACGCTCGGCTCGCTTCGCTTCGCGTTCTTGTCGCTTCTTCTCCCTTTCCACCTGTGAAATGATATATTGGTCACTAAGCTACGCTATATATGTTCATTCAATTCAAATTCAGTGCAAATACAGGGTTTGTGTGTTTATATAACGGCTTATTTGGTCTTAACTTACTTGATTAGGTTTCATTGGTGAGCCGTCCGTTCTGAGATCTGTATAAACATAAATTGAAACTTATAAACGTAAAATTATATATTTTTACATAGATATTACGACTTTTGTTTAACACATTCTTGAAGGGTTACTATGTATATATATTTAAAACTATTCTCAAAATATATTATAGCTGTAATCAGAGTATTTGGGAAATAAAATTCTTTACTTTGTAATATGATTAGAGCAATGATAGTACCTTTAATTTTGACTCCAATAAGTTTGGCAAGTGCGTCGTCGCTAGCGGGTGCGTCCCCCGGAGTGCTGGGCCCCGAGCTCGGGCCCCCGCCGCGACCTCGACCTCCGCGCGGGCCCCTGACAAACGCACAATTTGAGTATTATAAAGCTTATCAACTCTACAAAGCCAATATAAATAAATATTAATTTCTCGGAGGTTGAAACAAGTTAACATGAAAATATTTTATTAATACTAGCTTTCAGCTCGCAGTTTTCACCTTCACATTAATTACACTCAAAAATTTATTTCCAAAACTAATTTTGCAAACAACATTAAATTTCGTTCAGCAGTTTCTGAGTTCATCGCGAACAGACAGATGACTAATTTTGTAACGACATTGACAGTGTCGTAGCGAGTCTTATGACCTAGAGCGGACGTGAAAAGAGCTGATGATAATGATGATGAAGGAATAGATACCTGCTGCCTCGCCCGCCTCTGCTACCTCTGCCACGCGCTGGCCTCGCGTTCAAAGCTGCTTGGGCATCTGTCACAAAAATATTCAAGTTAACACAGATACTTATAATATGCTTGTAGTATAAGGGACACTGCCTACTTTATATTCAAATATCATCACATACATCTATACCTACTAATACATATTATACAGAATAGAAAATTTAGTAAGTTTGTATGAAGGGGGTAATCTTTTGGACCGTTGGACGACTTTCCAAAATTCTTTCATTGATACATACAATGTTCAATAGGCTATATAATACATAACCCTACGACCATTACCTAAGATGAATGCCCAGCTGCGGGTTTAACCGCGCGTTAGTAGCTAGTATCTTTATAAAAGCAATCAAAAAGTATTCTAAATCTAACCTAAATACCAATATATTTGAATACTGACACAACTTACTGAGATGTGCTTGTAATTCCTCAGTCTTGGCCTTAGTGACATCTTCAGGCAACTTCTCAAGTGGCACCACAGCGGTCTTTTTGATCAAGTCACTGAGAGCCTTCCTCTTCTCTTCGCTAGACTGGTCTAATTCTTCCTCTTCTGCCTTCTTGCGTTTAGCCCGTTCATCATCGGAGTCGGTTGTAGCATCTGTGTCTATTTTATACTCATCTGAGCTGTCTGGCATGTGTTTGCCGCTTGATTTGTGCATTTCCTGTGTATCATAAGTGAGAGAACGATTAGTATAGAATAGAATACACTTCAATGCTAATTAGGAAAATTTTTTTAAGATCTGGCTGAATCCTTTATCGATACACCATTGTCAAACAAACAATAAGTATAAAAAAATTTTTTGAAAACATTTTATGCCTTGCTGTAACTGGTGTGTTTCTTTCTGGATATCCACCATGTAATGAATAAATTTGAATTAGTATGAAAAGAAAACGTAATTGGTATGAATTATCTGCCATGCATGTAAGCATGATTTATAAGTAAGCAACTAAAGGTTGTTTACGAACAATTTTTCTGAATAATAATATTTCTGCCACAAAACAAAAATAAACTTATGAACTTACATCCTCAGACTCAGTATTAGGCATCTCAGTATAATTAATCTTCTTCTGTCTCGTCCTATGTTTCGGGGACCAATCGTTGACCCCGTCATCTCCACTAAGGCCCCCGTACGTGACCCGGGCACGGATCACGTTACCTTCCGCATCGTACTGCGTTAAACCACTGCGCTTACGTCTCTTCTTTGATTTATCACGCCGCTTCACCTTTGGAGGTCGAGGTTTTGATTTTGACCTGTGAAATATAATAATAATTGTTATTGTAAATCCTTATTTGTTACTATATATACATTTAACTAAAATTTGCATAGCACAATATCATGCTTAAAATATAAAAACTAAGCACTATATAGAATCGAAAGAGAAGAGGGAAAATCTGGCAGTAACGCCTTAAACGACTGCAGCGCCAGCTGTGCCTGTGTTTCTACTCAAAATACATCACTAATGAATAAAACTTTAGTTCAATATCATGTCAAGCAAAGATTCTATGACTTACTTAGATTTGGATGACCATTCCTTGGCGCCGGCTGATTCACTGGAACTGTCGTCGAACTGTCCTTTCTTCTTCTTCTTTACTTCGGGCGAAGATTCGGTCAGTTTCGTACGTTCGCCTAAATGAAAATTATGATAACAATTCAGTATGACAAATTAATATTTTCCACCATTACCAATATATTAAAGTAATGTCTGATTTGATATTGATGTATCAATGCGACGTTCACCAAGTAAAAAGTGACGAGGCCGGAGAAGCAGTGGCACGCAAAGAGCCAGGAAACCACTACAGATGGGGGCTAACAGGGCCGATATTTAGCCGGGGTTGCGGGATACCGCGGCATCGGTCTAGAGCAGGATAAGGAACGGGGGATGATTATAGTCAGTAAGAGTCTTACACACCGTCTCACCATATCCTGGACGAGAAACGTTAATTGATGATTTTCACTCCTCAAAAATAGTTCTACTGCTAAAACAAGTTCCGGTGATTCCCTTCAAAATTCAAGGGCAAGATTCTCGATGGGCATTACATTAGCAACCAAGAAACATTGTAATGTTTTTTTTTATACTATATTATCTATAGTGAAACGATTTTAATTAAACATTATAATACTTTTGTTGTTATTTGCAATTTACCTTTCTTATCAGACCTGCACGTCCGTCGGATAGGCAGCGAGTCTGAAGACCTTGAATCACTGGAACTGCCTCGGTCATTCGACGACGATATGTCTTCGGAAGACGACTCCATACTTAAAGCACTGCAGGTTTAAACATACAATTGTTCATTACCTTGATTAGTTGGGAGTATACTTAGAATTTTAACAAATTATTGATTCGTTTCTTTACATTTAACAGCTGGATCTAAATTAAGAATTATATTCTTGTTGGCAATAGTATTGTAAGAATAAGTTGTGTATACAAATAGAATTGGCAAATTGACGAATAAAAACCAAGGAGTAACTTTAGGAGGGTGTAGAACCTTTTGTTAATAAAAATACAAATAAACCATTTTTATAAACTTTTGTTTGTTATTTTTCTTCTGTTTAAAATTATAACAAACTACACATACCCAGTATCTTTGAAGTCCTCATCAGTCTCGTCGTCGTCCTCTGAAGGTACCTCCAGCGAGTTCAGCTTCCTCGGCTTTCGACGTTGCTTCTTCTTAGTTTTTCTCTCAATGGGTTTTCCCTAAAACCAAAGTTACTGTTAGAAGGCAGAAGCAAAGACACTTAATGAAAAAAAAGATTGCCCTACACTACGATTTTCTCATGTGTCGTGGGTGCGTTCATAAACATACAATTTCACATACACATTACACATAGACCCGAAACAACAATTTGTGGATCACACAAATAGTTGTTCCGTGCGGGAATCGAATCCGCGACACACGTTGCGCCTCAGCCAGTTGGCCAGCCACCGCGCAAACCGTGCAGTCTAGTACTGTGAGCTAGGCATAAATTTCATTGCGTTTTCTTTTTTGCTCTACACTGAGATTTTGCAAAGCAATAATTATAGTTGAAGATGTATCTGTCTGTGTGTGTTTTAGATAGAAATGATCCAGAAACATAATGATTTGTGGGTAACACTAAATGCGATGTCGGCTTGTGCGCAAGAATCTTAACGACAACAATGAACCCCGAAGATTCTTCTGGCCCTTAAAGGAAGATTGAATTCTTCTGTTGCTCTAAACGACAAAAAGAAAACGAGGTTTTTTTGCCTTTTATAGAATTAGGACTAGGCTAATAACCTATATCCTACATTCTCACTTTAAGCAACTTTTGAAGGTAGATGCTGTTATATAATATTATAAAGCTGTAGAGTTTGTTAGTTTGAACGCGCTAATCTCCGGATCTACTGGTTCTAATTGAACCATTCTTTTTATGTTTGTTAGCCCGTTAATCGAGGAAGGCTATATGATATAAAACAAAGAGCAGAGGGTGGAACAGCGCGAGAGTATCTAGTCAAATGATTAATCACCTGTTCCAAAGCTTCTCGTTCCGCTTTCATCTTTTCTTCTTCAGCTGCCTCGATGATAGTTGATATGTCCTTGCCTCGACCCTGGTTTCCCGCGCTTGTCGTAGCTTCTACATACTCCTCCTATGATGACATCAAATAATTATTCTAATACTATTTATAGCTAAGTAAGTCAAAATTTATCGGCTGTTTACCTCAGAGGGGTACCTTTAATAAAATGTTAATAAAATGTTGTTTGCGAAAATATTTTGGGTTAAATCCCCAATTTAGCAATACCGTAGTTTCCAACTAGTCAAAGTCTTTTATCCAAATGTCAAAAACTTCTATGAAATTCGTATGAAAAACTGAGTTATGACATCATAAAATTTTTGCGTCAAATAGCTTACTTATTTTTTTTTAAATTTGCTAAAAAATGTCTAAAATTTTGAGTATCGATCGATGGATGGAGGAAAGTATAGTTATTTTTCAATATTTTATTGTATTGAAACGTCGAATTAATTTATTTTTTACCTAGGAAAGTACTTAATAGTAATGTAATATAGACCTTGATGGCGGAGCTGATGAGTCGGTCGTACTCCTGGCTGCGGTAGCTGACGGGGAGCTGCCTGCGGGCGCGCAGTCTGTACACGGCGCCCTCCGACGACGTCGACGACCAGTCGCTGCTACCGCTCGCCTCTGGACCAGTACGGAACAACAAAATATTATGACGGAAACAGTAACTTGTGTTATTTAGAGAAACTAAATGAATTACAGCGCAAGAACGACATTCTACATGATTTTGATGAGAATAAACACTAGTAACGTGTATTATGTATCTTACGAGGGCGGAAACCTAACCCCCATGGCTGTTGCTTATAATTTGACGGCCTAGTAGTCTTTTTATAATATAAAAATGAATAGCAATGTGTGTGTTGCCAATTCTTACTTTTATGTCGCTATTTTATGACCAGGAGAAGGTTAATATGAAAGAAAATTTAATAAAAGTAAATGGGATAACCGAAAAATTACAACCAGTTGGACTCATATTCAAAACCAGCCATAATTGAAATATGCTGTTGCTGAGCTGTTAATTAAATTAAACGTAAACAAATAATATGCAAACTAGATTATATTTTATTAGCTGGGATTAGCTCGGCATGGGAACCTAACACTCAGATCTATAACCTGAAGGCATACTAGAAACAAGTTGCTCATAATACATCAAGTTAATCAAGTATCTCACCACTAGATTTATCCTCTTCATCATCTTCTTTCTGAGCTTCCTTTTCATCCTCTGTCTCCTTCTCACTCTTAGGTTCAGGTTCCTCAAGCCTCTTCCGTTCTCTCTCCGCTTCCACTGTGACGACCAGCTCGTCATACTTCACTAGTTCCGCTTCTAGCGATGCTATTAACATGTCCTGGAAGGTTTTATTTGTTATATTGCGATTGTATACGAAATAATTAGAAAGTACAAGCGGCTAAATTGATTATGTATATGGTAGTTTTTTGGGTAACGTTGCGCCACACTAGGATTTTCTCCTGTGTTGTAGGTGCGTTTACAAATAAACAATGTCACGTACACAAGACCCCAGACCCGGAACAACAATTTGTGGATTACACAAAGAGTTATATGACTGTTATATGTTACGCATCAAGCTTTATAAAACCTATTTCCATATCAGACTTTAAAATAAAATCACTTTAATTAACGAAGCCACACTAAAGTAAACTTTAAAATGTATATAATAAAGTATAGTTTGGATATAAACTGACATGGTTACAAGGCGGACAGAACCAGTCGCCCTCGGGCACGAGGAAAAGTACAGGTTTGAGACAGCTGGCGTGGTACCCCGCGTCGCACTGGTCACACAGCAGGATCCACTCCGGCTGCTCCCCGCTGCCGCAGCGCTTGCAGAAACCGTCCGCGTCTTCTTTACCTGTGGTTTGTATAAACGACGAAATTTTGTGGAGTACATCTTAAAAAATAAAGAAGTTTAACAGCGGCTAAACCTAGCTTAAAAAGTAACTGTAGAACGTACGTAAATTATGAAATATCAGTTTGTGTCGTCATAATTTATTTATTTCTAAGAAATAATAAAAAAATGCGATTGAAATAGTTTCTCTTTGACTAAGGAAACTGTCCAACAATATAAAAGCAAAGAAAGGAATGATGATACGTTCATTTCGAAGATTCATTTACATTAATAAAAATATCAAATAATAATAGCGATATCACACATTTCAACTTACTTTCTTGTAAAGTACGAGCTCGTTTAAGAGGTCCGACGGGTTCGCCGCTCTCCAAGTCGGATTCCGGTGAAAATTCATGGTCAGATTTGTTGAAAACAACTGTTAAAACAAATAAATTGTATTAGACGTCGGTTGAAAAAGTTCTGCGGTCTAATGCGATTAATCGCCGTATTAAGGTTACTATGGATGCTAATCTAATCAAATAGATCGCTTAGCTGAGGTATTTATTTTTTCTTTCACCTTCTTGTTTTATCAGTCTCTCTCTCTACTCGTATGAATGCTATATCTACCTCATACAAATTTGGAAGTGATATAGAACCGTAATGCGGATCTTCAATTCTTATAAAGGGAATGAGCGAGTCAACTCCGTCACAAGTTTTATTAATTACCTATTTAGAGTTGCCTCATATTTAAAAGAGTTACTGTAAAAATTTCAAATAAGTGTAGTAAACTTCTTTATAGACTTCACAGATTTACGAAGCCCCAGCTCGTAGCTTTCTTCTCTTACAAAGTTATTTTATCTAAGATACTTTATGTCATTAAAAAAGTACATGCGCTGTGATCCGCTGCAGTACTACATACTGAGACCTCAAATATTGTTGTTCTCAGACTGGAAGTGAGGTTTATGCCACATTTTTATTTTGATATAACCCACAAGAAAGAAAGTAAGGACAAAATACTTCTTTCGACGATGAGAATTTTGTGTTTCTCCATTGCACTCACGTTCAGGCTCATCATGCAACTCGAAGAGTGGTTCATCGGAGTCGGAGTCAGGTTCGGGCCCCGTGGAGTGGTCGGAGCGCCACTGCGACTTGCGCCGCCGCCGCTCCCCGTCGGAGCTGCTCGCTCCACTAGCGCGCCATTCCTCTTCACCATCTTCTTCTTCTTTGTTCTGCATTAGAAAAATAATCTTACTTATATTATAAATGCGAAAATTACGATGTTTGGATGTTTGTTACTCAATCACGGCAACATGACTAGACGGATCTGGATGAAATTTAGCACAAGCACAGGATACACTCCGGGATAGGAAATAGGCTACTTTTTACCAACATGACACGTAGGCGAAGCCACAGGCGGAAGCTTGTGTAAAATAAATATGCTCATATTTTTAAATCCATCCTATCCACTGTAAGCTATTACATATAACCCAATAAAAATGTATGAAGTCCTTAGTAAATTTCAACGATATGCCACGAATCCTGGGCTGGGATGGTACACCATACCATAACGAAATAATGCATAGAGTATGCATTATTTCGAAATACGAATGAGTAGTGACATTTTGAAAGCAATTACAACTAGCTGTATTATAATAATTTTACAACTATACAAAGTTTCGGTCATTTGAGAACCCCCTCCCCCTCTCAATTGCAGACAAACATTACATACAGTTCAACTGAGAATCACCTTTACTTTTTAAAGTTAAAAACACTTTTAAATCAAAACCCAACTGATTTACAAAACAAAACGTAACTTAGTCTTACCTTTTTCTTATGAATCTTCTTGAGTTCCCTTAGCGCGACTTCCTCCAAATGTCTTCGATCAGCTTCCTCCTTGATCTTCATCTGCGCGATCCGCCGCGACTGCCGTATCGGTGCGACGTCAGAATCGTCCGACCCACCACGCCCCCTACCGCTCTTGCCTTTATCATTGCTTGCTTTTCCCTTATCAGACTTCCCTTTTGCCTTCTTTTTAACTAGTTTCTTTGTAGTTTTCTTGCCAGCTAAAAGGGTTAAATTTTTATTACTTACATAAAAGTAGATCTAAAGAAAGATGTTGAGTCTGCCTTGAGTAAGCTGAAGTTATGCTGCTGCATGGTTGAGAAAAAATTACAATAAATTCTACTGATATTTGCTTGACACAAATAGTTTTCAGTGAGCTTACTGTCTGTAGTTACTATTAAAAACGCTAAAACACATCTAATAATCCTGGCATGTAAAAAGCGTCTAACTATCCTTGCAACCTGACATATCCTTCTGTCTAGACAAGGTAATAAGGAATGATATTAGTATAAATCAATAAATACCTATACTATAGAGAGTCTCTTCCTCAGATTCGTCACTTGAATGTTTCTCTAGAAGTTTGGCTTCCACTTTTTTCCTGTAAAATTATGTTCACAATCAATAAAAATGAATAATCATGCAAAGAATCAATCGTTAATTAAATAACCTTTACCTGGTAGAAGTAATAATTTTCTTAGGTTTAATTTTAAGACGTTTGCCGCTTGTAATAGGTTCATCATCTTCACTTTCGCTTTGAGATTCAGATTTATTCTTATCACTCATAGTAGCATCTAATAGAGACCTTTTTAAAGATTTGCACTCTTTCTTGCCATTGTCATTTGTTTCTTTGTCACTGTTCTTATCTACCTCTTCATCATCCTTTTTGACAACCTTTTTTCTTTTAAACTTCCCTTTTTGTGCCTTTATTTTCTTTCTTTGCGCTATAGCATTGCCTTCAACATTGTTCAAATTGTCTTTCTTAGTTTCACTGTTCTCTACATTATCGGCTGTTTCATTGGAATGTGTGTTTACATCACTTTCAGGTGTGGTTTCTAACCTTAACTTCTTTGGAGGTAAAGGGTCTTCTACTTTTAACTCTTTGTCAGGACTTTTCTCATGTTCATTCTCTGTATTCACAGTATCATCTTGATCCACGGAGGACACACTACTCTTTCTCTTTTCAATAATACTTGTTTTACTATCATGACAATTATCAGTCTCTGAGTTAACTACTTCTGTACTTTTGTTTAAGTTTAAATTCCTGGCTACATTGCTTTTCTTCTTAACTTTACCCCTCCCTTTCTTAGCATTATTCTTTTTAGGACTTTCACTATCTGTAGTACTTTTATCATTACTAGCTTCTCTTTTTAATTCATTTTCCGTATTTTTATTAGAATTAGAATTGGAACCATCCGATTGATCTACGTCACGGACGCAATGTTTTTTAGAATCAGTATTTAATACCTCTGTGCTATCATCATCATCATTGGACTGATTTATTAAAGTTCTTTTCGTCACAGTAGGTACATTACTTTTTAATTTAATATTTTTAACTAAATTATTTTTATTGCTTGCATTTGAAAGTTCATGAGGATGTTCACCATTAAGACACTCTTCATTGCCATTTTCCTCAGTAGAATTTTCTTCAGGGCTATGAGCTTGCTCTATAGTTTCGGGGTTACCAGTGTCATTGTCATACCCCCAACCTTCCCCATAAAAAAACATGACGGGTTCTGAAATTTCTTCGCCAATTATATAGGAACTATCGCAGTCCGCACCATTTCCCTCACCAGTGACCAGCATTACTGGTTCTTCAATAGCTTCGCCTACTTCACCTTCATTAAGTTTTTCACTTGCATTTTCTTTGCTTTCTTTAGCTGGTGATGGTAGATCTTCAGTTTCTGATGGTTCTTCAATTGCCTTTTCGTCTGTTATTTCTTCTTTATTTTCTTCAGATATTTTTGGTGACTTTACTCTTTCAGGACTTTTTGCTGGTTCACTTTCCACCTCTAATTTCTCTTCCTCAGTTGTTACAGGTTCTGGTTCAGGTTTTGTTTCTGGTTCTTGTTCCTCTACCGTTTTTGTTTCTGGATCATCAGTTTCTTCACTCTCAGCAACTTCTTTTTCCTTAGTTTCTTCCTCTAGCTCTTCTTTTTCTTCTGTGTTACTAATAGGCTCTTCCGCTTTTTCTTCCACTTTTTCTGGTAAGGGATGTTCTTCAACTTTCTGTTCATCAGCTTCATGTTCCGATTCTGATTCAGGACTTAGGAACTCCTCTTCATTTTCCACTTCACCATCACCTTCAGATTTGTTTGTCTGTAACAGTGAGTAGTTAGTTAAGTTCTAACTACAAAAAATAACAACCACCTGCATAACAGATGAAATTGGCTTTAGGAATTAAGTTTCCATCTAAAATAGTTTTACTTGTACAAATGTAGGCATTGATCAAAGAAATTTTTTTTATAACTACAATCTCCAAAATTTTTTGTTTATAATTGAAAAATTCTTTATTTAAAAAACGCTTGGTGTATTTTTAAAAAGTTGTTTCTAATCATTTTAATCATCATTATTGTATCCTAAAACTTGATTAACAAATATTATTAACAAACAAATAAAACATAATAGGTTTGTGAGACTTCCAATTTCATAATAGCACTTATGAATATACAAGTTATAACATTTTAAGCAAGGTTATTACAAAAAAATAACTAATTACCTCCAACTGTGGTGGAACCTCCGCACTGTTGGAGTCTTCATTGACATTTGTGGTAGTCCCAAACAGTGGAGACACTTCCTCACCACTTTTCAATTGTGATATTACTTTGACCAATTCTTCCCGAGTCCTAAAAAACAATCAAATTTTTTGTTAATATTTCAGAATTCTAATTAGAATACTGTATGAAAGTTTCAATACCCACTATTAAACCATTTTTAGCTTTAGTTGATTTTGATTTACATATTTTAATACACATTTCATTCATGAATTCAAAACATTTTCAATTCAAATAGGAGTAATGTATCTTAAGTAACTCAATTGTATGTTAAACAGTATTTTATACTTTTTTTAAATCCTTTTAAGTATTCCACATACCTAGCTACTAGTTGCCATGTCTCCTCATCCTGATCCTCTTTATACAAACAGAGATTGGCCTCATGGTCCACTTGCAGCCAATATACACAACCATTCTTATCTCTGCCAATGGGATCCAACCTTAACTCCTTACATGATATTGCATTGACAGCATTCTTGAATTTTGGATGGCAAGTAAATTGGTACTCAAGTAACAACTGTTGAAAAAAGAGACAAAAAAATATAGGACTGTTTATAGATCAAAACAATTGACACAGAAAAAAATTGGCTGGCAGCCATAAAGTATTAAGAGAAAAAATAGCAAATATACTGGAATCTATTTCACATTTGGGTACAAATGTACAAGAACATATTTATTTGAACATTATTTTGTGGCACAAGATAAGTAAACACAGAGCTCTTAACTACTACAGGCAAGTACCTTACATAGACAACACATGAATAAGTATGAATCATTTGTGAAAGTTATATGCCAGCATTCAATGAGATTAGATGCACATTATCTTAGCAAAAAACTGAGTAGGCGTAATTACCTTTAATACTTTCAATTTGACCTGAGTACTAGCTTTCTTGTAAGAAAACCTTTCGATCTCCCAGGCTTCCTGGTGATGACCTTGTTGATGGCAAAACTTTATCATAAACCTCTCCCATCTGTTGCTAGCCACCGTTTTATGAGCACGGCGCAGTAGTCTCAAGTGTAACTCCTTCAATGGATCCAACACTAACAACAAAAAACTTATAAGATGTTTGTTTATGAATTGGAATGACGAATCTACATAGATAACTCACCTTCTTGTGTATTTTCTATGAGTTCTTGTAATTTAGATATTGTAGGAACCTCCAAGCCATACAGTTTACCAAATGTTTTCAGAAATGAGTAAATAACAGCGAAATTAGGATCATTCGCACACGAAATTTCACCATCGGACGCCATCGTCGGAACTTAACAAGCTTTTTCACTAAACATCACTAATGGTTCTAAATACAGATATATGATTATTTCACTTATACCTAAAGGGAAGTTATAAAACATGTACATGATTCACGAAAATATGTTCATTTTATGTGCACTCAAAGCTTCTCTTCTTATTTTCTATGATAGTAAAATAAAACTCGATGACAGCCATCGCTCCATAGACTACTACATTATTTTTTTTAGTAAACATATAAATAGTGACAGGCAATGTTAAAGTCAAAGACAATATCAAAATTAGATTTTATTTCCCTATTGTGTGCAGTGTTTAAAATTAAATATGTATTTTAAGCTTATACCGCAATAACTACATGCATCAGATCAAACTCTGACTGATTTCGTTTAGAGACAAAAGATTGGCAAAAGATACAGAGACTCGCGAACCACCAGAAAAGATTTTGAGTTATATTATAACTTTTCATTGAGGTGCATTAGAATGTTATTTCCCCTTTATCAATAAAAGTCTTTGAAAATGATGGAAAATTCAAACTCCTTTTTGTTATTTTTTTAAGTTACCCTTGACTATTTCACATACACTAGTCGGATGATATTATCATTATTTGCCTGATAAGACGTGATATATTACCAAAAATATGAAATATTTAAAATAAAACTTGGATTTAAATTGTTTGATTCATTTTTTTCTTTGATTACTGAATGGTGCAAAAACTATCTGTTTATGGAGATCCCGCACTTCAATTAATATTGTAATTTTTTGCTACCGATAACAATGGAAATTTAATAACGGGTGTAATATGCATATAAAACACAACCACGGAAATCAGACCTATTAGCATTTTGAGAAAGTAAAAGCAACGGTTTCTAAGATCATTAAAAAATATAAACTTTACGATTTAGAGAAAGAATCCTAAGTAATAATAGCTCGGGGTACATGAGTAACAAACCTAACTTCCTATTACTCGGAATTACAATATGGAACGTGGGTCGATTGCGTGTCATATTGTTAAGTAAATGTGGAGATTTGCTTCTCTGCCTACCTTTTCAGATATAAAGATAAGGTGTAAAATGTGTGTGTGTGATGTCATATTTATAAAACAGTAGGTATTACAACAGATAGCATGTTTTTGAAAATTACCGCACTATTGACATACCTACTATGTTGTGAACTTTACACCACACTGCTCAGTGTCAGTTAATCTACATTCTGCGATGAATAAGTCGCATCAGTATGAGTGTTAATCGGGTATTATTCGTTGTAATAATTTCTAGTTTTTCTTGTGTTTTTGTTGCTGGGAAAAGATTTAATAATAGGTACATTTATTAAAAGCCTAGTATTCTATGAGTTAAATTCAATTGAATATACTATGAATTTTATATGAAATTGTTATACTTTTTGTTACATTTAAATAGCACTTTTTATTCCTTTTGAATTGTAATGAATAAATGTGTGATTATTTTTAGTACTTGGTTTTATAATTATTATTTTTTTACTGAGGAAGTTACCCAGTCGTGTTGTAAACTTGTAAGATTATAAACAAACAAGAGCCGTCTTCGTGTCATTTAATAAGAAAGAACTGTTATAAATATTAGTCTGTTATCAGACATCACTACGCCTGTCAAATCAGATTTCTTCAGGCTCATTGATGTTTTTTAACCTGTGGTTACAAAACCCCATTGAGTGAAACGAGTGTTTAGTTTCGTTTACTTTGAGATTTTGTGTGATTGCTTTGTTTCGTAGTGTTAGTATAATTAACTTACAATATTAGCCAAGATGTCTTCAGTATGTTGTGGAACAAAAAAACAGAAACTAAACAACTCTTATAGTAACAGTATAGATCGACCTTTGAATGGTTACCAAGAGTCCGTAGCTATTCCTGATATGTGTTACTTTTGTTTCGATGTTTTGTATTGTCAGCTGCATAGTATGGATCCTCCTCAGACGCCAAACTTTACTAATGATGCCTAGTAAGTGGTTCACTCTCGTAAGTACAAGTATAGCCTATCAATTTCGACATCAAATTAATGATATGTGTGCTTTTCCCGTTGCACTGCTTTGTTGAACTACCTCTGCATCTTTTGTTCCTAATGAGGTCACTGTAGTGAATTAAACCCTTTACGGTTTTGTACGAAACTTTTCAGTAAGTCAGTTGTAGTTGCACATTTCCACTTTCACTCAATTTACATAATGTGTGAATGTAAACATAAATAATTTATATTTGATCATATGTGACACCCACACAAAGGCAGTTTTGTTTTTTATTCGCGGTCAATACACCTCCACTCCCATCACCTTCCGAAAATGTGCATACTAATTTAATCTTTATGAGAAAGTGCACAAAGTTTATATTGGCTTGTATTGTAAATGTACAGTTTTGCTATTGTGTTGTTAACAGCTATTACAAATGTCTAATGTGCAATAAAGCTAGACTTTACCTAATGTGCTAACAAATTGAATGATTCAGCTTTATTCATTTTCTTATGAAACTGAAAAATATTTTTGTAATTTTCACAGTCCTTTGTTTGTGACTTGGAAGATTGGTAAGGAGCACCGTCTGCGAGGATGCATCGGGACATTTAATGCAATGCATTTACATTCAGGTATGACATTTGAACAATACTTTTATTACCAGAATTATTATGGTAGAAACCTATGCATTACATGTGTGTATTTTTGAAGGGTAGTCGTCTGACCTTCTGTCAGTATGACCTTGCCAACTTATTAGTGAGTTTACTACAAAAATATACTCTACAACAAATCCATAATATAATATGTTACGAAATTTTATAAGACTTAATATCACTATTGTTATGATACCTGTATCAACACAGCCATTATTTTGCAATTATGAGATAAACATTATCTGTGGTCTTTCTTAAGTAAATTAAATAAATAGATTGTCAAGACTTTACAAAGATCCTTCTTTGTTTGAAGAAATGTGTCTCAAGTGCATACAAAACATTTACTTAAAACAAAGAAAATGTTGAAGTTTCCATTTGGAAAATAAAACAGACTTATTGTTCTGTGCTTCCATATTGATGGTCCCAATGTATAAAGTCTGTCCAGTACCTTATGTGGATATATGTAGTTAGAAATGGATTTTCATAGTAAATCCTTAGACATACATATTATAAAAAGAAGTTAGATTCACATCTCTTTGTTTTTGTATAAAGGCGAGGTATTTAAATAGTATCTGACAGGTTTTTATGTTTTTTGTATTTTGTTTATTGAATTGTGTGATTCCTGACTTAGGTTAAGGTGTTGAACTTATTATAATTTCGCCATGGGGGTGAAGTCATAGACAGAATGATAATAATTTAGTAAAATACCCACAATATTTAATTTCTCAAAGATTTGAAATAAATGATTGCTTTGCTATTATTCTGATATATGAATAGAACTTTTTCTTATTTGACTATTTCAAACTATTGCCACATTCAAACAAAATAAATTTACTTGTTTATAATAATCCAGGCAAAAGCAATAACATCATTACTGGGTATTAAGCCTCCTTTACAGAGAGGTTGGCTATAGTCACTATGTACAAATGACATCAAATTATTTATTGCACACCGCAAGTATAAATAGATGGTACAGAGATTTAGGAAACATTTGTGGTCCCTGTTGACAAAAATAAAGTCTGATGAGGACTTTCCCACATCTATTCAAGTAACCAACTATGTTTAATCAAAATATGTAAAGCATATTTACTGTCTACTTGCTTCCGCCCGCGGCTTCGCCTGCGTGGTATGTTGATAAAAAGTAGCCTATGTCCTATTCCAGAATGTATCCTATGCCTGTGCAAAATTTCATCCAGATCTGTCTAGTCATTTTGCATTTATAATATTAGTAAGATGTGTTTATCTATTTTATTGTGTATGTTTTTATTTATGTATTGTTATTTAATTTAATCATACCTATTTGATGTACTTAATTTTAATTCAAATTTATACAATATAATGCAATTCAAGTAAAACCATAGTAGAATACATCATTTAATTTAATTTTTAAATACAATTTAGTTTAATTTATGTAAATTTAATTTGATTAAGGCTGAGTTTGTTTATCAGGTAAATCAAAGATCAAGAAGAAGAGTTTATAAGATTCAGGTTTATCTTAGAATGCTACTGCCTGGTTTCAATTAAATATGTTACCAGTACAAGACACCACAATCATATTCTATATCCAGCAGCTTGTGTATTTGATTAAAACCTTTTTTGCATTCTATAATCGCAGGTCTTCGTGAATACGCAATAACGAGCGCTTTAAAAGACTCTCGGTTCGCTCCAATTACTCGTGAAGAGGTGCCCCGGCTGACCGTGTCGGTTTCCATACTGCAGCACTTTGAGGAGGCCGAGCACTACCTGGATTGGAAGCTCGGCAAGCATGGCATCCGCATCGAGTTCATCAGTGAACGCGGCACCAAGCGCACCGCTACCTATTTACCTCAAGTTGCTACTGAACAAGGTATTTATACAGATTTAACAAAAAATTTAGTTCTTAGATAGAGATAGGAGATATCTTGAGATTTTGACATTCTGGAAAATGGTTTGAATAATTCTATTTGAATGAAAGGCGAAATACCTTAAAAATGTGCTTTTCAGAATATAATAATCGTAAACCAAATTTTCATATTATGAAATGTTTGGCTTCCAGGTTGGGACCAAATCCAAACTATAGACTCTCTCCTGAGAAAGGGCGGCTACAAGGCCGCCATTACAGGCGAGTTGAGACGGAGCATCAAGCTGACTCGCTACCAATCGGAGGAGATCTCCGCCACCTACAACGAATACATCAGCCAGCGCTGCTAGCAGACGGTAAACGTGCCCACCCGCACCTCCCAACTTCATAACAATCCAAGACTTGTGTACCACAATAAACCTTATGTACATAGGAATAAGAAATACCATCGGAGTCGGGTTGGGCAGAGTGGTAACATATATTGTGCTAGAAATAACGTAGCTTGTAAGTGTATGTCTAGTGTCCAGAATCAGTTTGCGAGGAGGCTTTGTGAAGTGAGCGCTCGTTCGACTCGAAATGTCACCAATCAGGATTCTGCTCAAAGTGCATTGACGAGCCAGGCCAGACGACACTGTCTGATTCAAATTATTTAACGTTTACATACAACACTGCCAACGACATTCCTCTGTGGATAACATCTTAAGTGCCATCTCAATAACTGTAATGCTCATGATTAATATAAATATGGAAATTGCAGTACTATTCAATAATATAATTACACAATTGTATACTTAATTTTTTGCAACTAAACTAATTTTGTGCTATTAAAGGCCTGCGCAGACGAAGTACTTTTGTCCCTGGAGGACAAAAATCCCTGTACGGTGGAAAAAATGTCCTCCGAGGACTTGCCAAGGACTTAACGCAGACGGTGTGCGGTCATTTGTTGCCCAGAAGTGAAGCGCACCGCACGCTATGGAAGCAAATATTCTGAAATTGCGTTGTGTTATAATTTACATACACTTTAAGAATAAAAAAAGACGTTTTAAAAGAAAATACTGGGTCCATCCCTTTATTTCAGATCGATTATTGAATGGATATTTTCATGTGAAGCATGGTCAGTTAAAACAATATCCAGAAAGATTTTTCAAATATTATAAAATGTCGGTGGGAACTTTTGATGAGTTGCTGTCAATTTTGGAACCTGCTATAAGTCATTCTGAAACAGTGATGAGGAAATGTATTGGTCCAGAAGAGAGACTGTCAGTAACTTTAAAGTAAGTAAATAAATGCATTTCCAGTTCGTAATAATTATTTAATCATCTTAGATTTGGTAATCATCATCAATCACAATAAAATATTTTTTCACATTAGGTACAACTTTTCATAATTTTTTTGGAAGGATGCATAATTATTAATCAGTCTTTATGTTATATAATAAATCTACCATAATTAAAGTACCTACTGAGGCTTGAGCCAGACACTTAATTTTCTTCATCGCCATCGCCAAGACTGAATAAAGTGTCGCAGGTATCATTTTCTGGAGATGTGATTAAAACGTAATCCCGATGCACAGGTGTTGGTGTATAAGATACTACATTTGAGAGCTGTGATGTCGATGGTTGAGGAATATATTCAAGATTTTCAGACAAGTCATTTGCGGTGGTGTACGATACAGACTGGATTGGATTATTAAAACGATTTTGAATAGATGACAGCGGCTCTCTCCTAGGTGTTTCATTTCTAACATTAGGTGTTACGGTCATTTGAGAAAATCTTGAATTGTCGTTTGATGATTGCTTAAAATTTAAAATTAACTTTAAAATTTCCATTCTCAATAATAATTTTTGTTCTTCAGAAAATCCCTTCATATATGAAGTAAGCGAACGTAAAAAAAACTCATCTTCGTCTTGCCCGCTATCGCATGTTTTTGATTTAGAAAGCATTTGATTACCTTCTTTAAGTAGAGTTACTATTTCTTCATCGGTGTTTTTGCTCACCGTTCTTGGTTTTGAAAACCTTGCTTCAGCTTGAGAAGTTATATCTCTCCTATTTTCCACATTGCTCAGCTCAGGTTCATCGTTTTCAATAGATCCTTCTGTATCTACAATTTCTGTAAAAGGCAACAAAAATAGAAGAGAATCGAAGTACATGTATTTCCTCCTCTTCTTGGCTGCACTTCCAGACGGCGTATTTTTTTGGGCGGCGAGTTCTCTTCTAAAACAATGTCTAAGAGAAGTCCATCTCTTCTGTAACTCCTTTCCTGCAAAATAAAATGACAATATAAAAGGCTGCAAGATTTTTAATTTCTCCGGTTTATTTTACAGGTATTTAGCACGAGGTTCATCGTTTGTTGATCTTGAAGAAGACTACTTAATTGGAGCATCTACTATACGTTCTATCGTTAAAGAAACTTGTACAGCAATTTGGCAGCTGTGTAAAAATGCATGTTTTCCTGCCTTTAATGAGGAAAGATGGCTAGAGATTGCAAGTGAATTCTACAGAAAAACTCAATTCCCAAATTGTTTGGGAGCTGTGGACGGTAAACATATTCGCTTAAAGATGCCACCAAACTCAGGTTCAAATTATTTCAATTACAAATCATATTTTTCTACAGTCTTAATGGCGGTTGTTGATGCTGACTATTGTTTTACATTCATTGATGTCGGAGCGTATGGGAAACATAGTGATTCAAACATATTTAAAAATTCCAATTTAGAAAAGGGTATTTCAAGTGGTTCAATACCCCTTCCCAATAATCATAATCTTCCTAATGATGAGAACGGAAATCCCATGCCTTTCGTTTTTGTTGGAGACGAAGCGTTTGCTGTTTCAAATCATGTGATGAGGCCCTACCCTGATCGCAATTTAAGTCCAAAGCAGCGCATTTTCAATTATCGTCTATCAAGAGCACGAAGAATAGTTGAAAATGCATTCGGTATTTTGAGTAATAAATGGGCAATATTTCAAAGAAGTTTGAATGTTGATATGAAATTTGCAATAACAATAATAAAAGCTGCATGTACTCTTCATAATTTTGTCCGTAAAAGGGATGGCATTCATTTTGAAGATACACTGTATTCTTGTACTTTCGAGGATATACCTCCAGTTGGTGTAAGAGGTACAGATACTGGTATCGAAACTCGAAATTACATGGCCAATTACTTTACGTCTCCTCAAGGATCTGTACCATGGCAGTATAACCAAATTTAATAAATAAGTGGCAACTTTCCTGAATAAAAACAATAAATCACTAAATACGCATTTTATTGAAAATCCGAAAAACTTACCATATTTGGTTTTGTCCTCACTCGACATTAAATCCCAAACTGAAGAGGAATAAACTTCCTGACATACCTCGTTCCACAACTTTTTCTTTAAATTTCGGTCGTGATACTCTTTTCTTGACGTATCATATAATGGAGTTCTTTTTTCAATCTCACTTATTAAAATTTTACAATCGATATCGTGCGCCATTGTTTGTCGTGCACGCGTGCGTCACCATCGAGCGGTCAATGCAGACTAAAGTTCGCTGTGTGCGTTGCTGGGCCTAGTCACGTTGGTTCTATTTTTTTCGGGGACTCCCCCGTACTTTTGTCTAGTCCGGTCCCTCGGTGTCCTCGGTGGTTCGGGGGACTTTTTGTACGGGGTACTTTTAATCCTTTGTGTGCGTTATTCCGTACAGTTATAAGAGATCTATAATGAGGGACAAAAAAGTACCCGGGGGACAGTACCTCGTCTGCGCAGGCCATAAAATTAAGAGTGTTTTTCATTCTACATCGGCAATACACTTTGAACGAAATTTTGAAGGACATATTTAGTTATTACATTGTTATATAAATATGTTACTGTGAGTCTAATAATTAAAAACATTGGTTAGTGATTTATTATGTGTAATTTGACTCATGGTTGGCTAGTTAAGGGTTGCCCATGCTTCCAATATTGATGATCTTGTATTACTGATTGAATCTACGCATTTTGTGCTGTGGTTACAATTTTATAATGAAACACGAATTGCGAGAAACACCTAGAAGAAAACATTGAGGTAGTCTCAGTAGTTTTTTTTTATATAATACTTTATGCGCAGAACGTACGTAACCAGGCTAAATGCATCTGTGAAGTATATGTATCTATGTAAAATTGTAATGAGTAAAATGATATATTTTCATATTACTTAGTTGCAAATCTGCCTTGTAATAGTAATAATACCGTCTGTCCAAGGCTGGCTGACTGACGTGTCGCATGACTGGCTTTCATTAGCCTTACTCCACTTTAGTCTGCAAATGAACCGTAAGAACTACACAGATAATTATTTGAGGCGTATTTTGTGAAGAATTTGAAACTATTGATATTTTTTTATATTGTAACTTGTTAAACGGCTTACTCTCGTAACCGTTTGTCGAAATAACTCGACTAGTTTCGAGCTACGCTAGGGCTCATATTCATGAGCAGCACTACAAATCATGATTTCAATTAATCTTATTGGTTTATTTCTATACTTATACAAATGGTAAAAATATGTTTATTTGTACAAAATTGTCGTAAGTTCTTATTGTGGTCAATCAGAATGTGAAATTGTAACTCATATCATGAATCGCAACCCGGATCTCAACGTAATATCATAACGATATTTTTTTATACAAAAAGTACTTACATGAATCTGCTACTAATGGGTAAGCACCCTATTAATTATCATGTAAGGTATATAAATTAGATCGAAACAGTATAATGTCGAAAAAAAAATCAAAATATTTTAATGAAAAATACTAAAAAAAACAAATAAGAATTAAAGTGAACAAAAAAAGTAACTAAATAAATTACTTTAAGAATTCATTTGTTTTAGAATGTAAGTGTATCTTACTTTTAATGGTTTTGAACATGGAGAAATATTGTGATTCACAGTGGTCGGATCGGCAGTTGCTTTGTTGGCATGGGAGATGGAATGTTTTTATTATCTTGGTATTGGTACATTACAACCCACGGACAGACAAATCGTATTCTTCTTGAGACTCTTTACAATGTCGATAATTTACCTATCTTTTTTCCTTTTACTATAGTTATTATATTATACAAAATTTTCCATACATCATTCAGCTATTCTAGAAATCGGACATCATGAAAGCCATAAATATTTTAATTTGTACATTGATTCCAAGATAACAGAATCATTTGAATTGTTGGAAATGTGTAATAATAATAATAAATTGTTTAAATTACAAAGATAGTTGTTTTGACATCAAGTTTATACGAATAAGTATGGCGGCTTAAGATAGTAGAATGTACAAGGAAAGTTGTATTGGTCGGTAGGTACTATCAACCAAGTTATTTAGTATGTATGTAAGAAAATAAAGATTGATACAATACAGAGACGGTGACCCTTGATTGGTTATTAAGCTGATCATCATCATCATCATTACCAGACAGCCATCATAACTGTCTACCTGCTGAGAAAAGGGCTATTCTTACACGGCGAAAAATTGTCGTGGTGGCCCGGTGATAAAGGCGCCCCCTTCTAATTAAATTATGTACGTTCTATGATAACTTTGACACCACTGACATATGATGAAGGAAAACATTGTAAGTAAAACCTGGACTTTTTGATTTCTAATTATATGTTTTAAATCGCCAATCCGCCTTAATCAAGCGTGGTGATTAATGCTCCAACCTTCTCCGTGTGTGAAGAGGCCTGATGGTGATGATGCAAAATGTGCTTTAAGTGATTGACTACCGACAGATTACCGTTGAAGGTAAATCCTTCGCTAGCGTGGCCCACATGTCCCACATAGGGTTCAACGTGTTAATCATCACATTGGCGATTTCAAACTTAATGGTTAACAAAATTTGACTTCGTTCAAAACTTAAAATGTAGTATAAGAACAGCGATTGTCTCTGTCCTGAATCCTGCGCCAGAATGATCTTTATTTTCTCTCCTGCATACCAAGTAACTTAGTTGACTATACATATTAATATATATGTTGGGATTTTAAAGAATAAGTGTCATATAAGTAGCTGTAAATTAGATTCGTACATGAGAGTTCAGTATGTTGACAATTAAACGGATTTTGAATACTATGAATTGATCTTGAAATATCATATATGAGATATTTATACAGACATCATATGACAATGATGATAACTATTTAATTAACTACCAATTTTAAAAGTTAAAGAATGCCAGCGAATTTATTTTATTTTTTTAAATTTGGAATGTACACAGACATATAAGAAAAAACGTTTATAAAAAAAAAAGAAAAAATAGGTATTGTTCCGTTATCGCAATTGTGTATAGTTCTTTGAAGAATTACGTTCTAGCAGCATACATTGCATACAACCTTACAGGATTTAGAAGTGCGGTGCATGACCATCCGTCCTATTACTTCGGCGCCCACTTATAATAATATCATACATGCTAACTCTAATGCGCGTTTCTGATTTATAGCTACTCATAAGCCTATTATAGCTATCGAACCTTTCTATTGAGCTGACAGGTGCTATAGTTGAAATAGGTTTCATGAATATGAGCATAAAGTCTTTATTCAACTGACACATTCTTAGAAATCCAACACAGTGTTGTTATCCTTTATTATAGTGAACAGCTAGAAATTAATATTAAACAGTAGTTCATTGACTCGTAAAATATTAATAAAATACTTTGAAAACGAACGGCACTAACTTTGTAGTGCTAATTCGTTTGAGCACTAACTTGGTCTAGAAATATCAGCTTTTAAGCTTCGAATGTTTAAATATGACGCTATCCCTTTCTCGCGCTGTGTTTTAGAAAGAGATAGTAAACTTGTTCTAGATTAGTTAGTGAACAAGAATTAGCACTAATGACAAACTAAGCACATACAGAGTGGCTATGTGAATATAAAAAAAATGTTATAGGAGGAGACTTCTTAAATTTTTACTTGTTTATTAGTCAGGCTAAATAACCCATCGGTAGATTTGCCTACTACAAAATGTGTTAAAATTCCACCTTTGGCAGATCAAGAGGTCTGTGTCACTAACCTCATGACTTCAAATAATTATGTATTCGATAAAACTTATATGGCATATAGTTCATACATTCATTCAATCACATTCTATATTCAATTTTATTTAGTTTAGTGCATACCTAGTGTCTATCCAGACTTACACCCGGTTTCCGAAAGGCCGATCAATGTTAAAATCAATTTAATCTCTTGTCAAGTCATCTAATTGGTTGTTGATAATGCAGTCAACCAATCAGATGATTTTCGGAAACCGGGCATATGTGAAAGAGGCCCAGTATCTATAGAAAGTTACGAGATACTGGCCGAAAAGATTTTTTCTAGTCTGAAATGGTATTTAGCAGTGGCGTACTGCATTTGTACATGGGATGCATAAAATATCTGACGAATTGTGGTTGTTATTTGCACACCTCTAACTACTATTACGCCTTTTTGCTTGCTAAGAATAATGCATACTATACACATTTTCACATAGCTAATTATGCTTGTATGTGCTTAAAACAAACTACAATGTACTTGCAGCAATATGAGTGACTTTAATAAATAATAAAAAAGATCGTATATCATATGATTAATTATATAAATTAAGCAGATATATTATTAGATAGTTATTGTTTTATGTTTAAAATTAACAAAATTATGTGTTTATTATGACTTCTGGCTTCCTTCAGACTGAGTCTGATGTCTTAATTAATTCAGTTACCTAGGTACTTGTGCTTAATATTTCTCAATTATTTTTTCTTGTAGGCACCCACAGGCAAATGGAACTTAGCATGTTCTTTTTTTTATTGAAATGTCTCTTATGTTATCTTCATTCCTATAAGGTATAATAAAATGGAATGTCCTCTCTGAAGCAGTCAAAATGTACCAATGTTCTGAAGAAATCTTTCGTCTTATGGCTTAACATATTACCCTATCTGAACCTCCTGTCTGTTTCCTTTTTTGTAATATTTTTCAGTGCCTACTATGCATAATGCAGTATTTTAGTTCTGTTTTGAAGCACCCACGAAGGAAATTAATTACACTAATCTGAAGCTAGCCAAAAGTCAAATTACCAGCTAAATTATAGCCACAATAAGTAGTCTCGCTAACAGTGTAGTGTTAAGGTAAGATACAGTTTTCTACAGGATTCGCGCCATTCGGAACAGACGTACTTGTATGTGGGTGAGGGAGACAGATATCTACAAGAATACCTATCTCACTCGCTCCATAGATTGTCCTAAATTGTAAGAAGCATATCTAAGGTTAAATAGAGATATTTTTGAATACAAGTCTTGTGTAGATTTCTTGAGTTTCGAGTGGTTAGCTATTTGTGTATCAACATTTTTGCATGTGTTCATATCTAGAAATTGTACTGGCAATTGTGTGCATAGTTTGTTGTCCTTTTTTGTATTTCTTAAATATGATTAACTAATATAGGATACTTTGAAGATATTTATGATTTTTACTGAGTAAAATGATCCTCTCTTCATTTCTAGTGCAGCAGTTTTGGAGTAACAGACACACAGACTATCAGCATACACGATCTCGATAGATTTAGACAATAAATGAATGTCACATTATTTAACACAACATTTTAATAATAAAATATCTATTTACAAACCATCTACATTTACATTCAACTGTTCATTGGTTTTTTTCCTCAAGTTTCGCCTCAATCTCCATCATCTTTGATCTTATAGTTAAATTGTTTGTCATTTCATAGTAAGTGAAAATAGATGAAGCTATAGCTTGTATGATAAGCATGTAAGTCAGTTGGTGGTTATAAGGCCTTGTGATTTTTCTCAAAAAGTTGAACATAACTTTTGGACCTTCTTTGAGATCAGGCACTCTGAAGGTTGAGTATCTGTTTGCAAACTGAAACAAATAATTTTTTGTCAGCATCATGCATGATCACTCTACATAAGTATATCATTTATTTTTAAACATACTATGGAACAAAACCTTTTAAATCATATTTTTATACTGTACTTACCATTAATGCTGATAATGGTGCTAGTATCATGGGATATGCAGTACCAAGACCGCACTGTATAGCAGCTGATCTGACCTCATAACACAATGGACATGCCTGACTCTTCATCAGAAGTAAGTCTGTTGAAATAAACTGAAATTAAAATAATCACTTTAATTTTGATATTCTGTAAATTTTGTGAATTAAATTCTTGTATTGTTTTGTTTATTAATAATAACAATTGAACATTACTTCATTGATTCTAGTTTATTATATTAAAGAGTTCATGTCATATGCAAGGAATAAGTTTGAATATAAAAGATAGTGGCATAATTCTTATACCAATATAGAACAATTACAAAAAAGAAAATACATTACATCTCTGTTGAATCTTACTTGTCTGTGAAAAAGGGCTGTTAAAGTGGCTGGCATGGCTGTGACGGGAATAACAGATGCGAAATATCCATATGGGCCCAATTTTAACTTGTTTCTGTAGTACCTGTTTATCAATATACCACAAGCAGCATTGATTCCACCCAGGACCATCGGACCATACTTTAAGGCCCAACTGCAATTTAAATATAAATTAAGTTTTAAAAAAAGTTCCCAAAAGTAATACAAATAATTTGGTTATTCGAAATTAGTAGTTTTTATGTTTTAGAAGTGACAAGCAATAAACATTTCAGAAAGTTTTATTTTGAGTTGAACTGATGTTTAATTCCAATTTTGCAAAAGTTTAGACTGGCATATCTTTGAAACTGGTGGTTTAGAAAACTTCGGATAGATTTTCTGTTATAAATTTTAACTTACGTATCCGAAAACGATTCCCAGTCGGAAACTATGTTCCAGACGTATTCAGTTGCTTCCAATTCGTCCAAAGCTACGGCACCCTCGGGTATATCTTTAGATTTCATTAACGCCATGGTTGATATTTATTCTGATTTACCTATATCATCAATAATAATTAATTTAGTAATACTTTTGAGATAACCTAAAAGATTGGTATTCTTTATTTTTATTGTCTGGGTTGTCTGTCAAAAACAGCTGCTAGTAATGCTGCCAACTGAAAATTAAAAAGTTAAAAATCTTTATGTCCTGTACATACTTCTCGTCTGATGTCTGATAGAACTATATAGACTTACCTAGAAATATAAGTGTAACGAGTTTAAAAATAGTGAACATAAGTCTAGCTAGAGTAAATGTACGTAGTGTTTATCTGATTTGCACCACGACTGCAATCGTTTTACTTTCTTTATTTGTTGGCTTGTTCCAATTGTTGTTGTTGACTATACAGCCAGTCCATTTATTAGATAGATTTTACCACGGAGTAAGAACAAAGAGGAGATGTCATAATGAGATTTCCCTAAGAAACACCGCGTGATATTTTGCGGGGTGAGGGGGTATTAGACTCCGCCCACTTTTGTATTTGCCATCTGCCGGTCTATAGCAATACTACTCGCTCATTCTATTTACTTCTTTTTGTAGTTATGTAACTATTTCACAATAGATGTCACTAACGCAACAGGGTCGTACTTAGAATTTACTGGGGAGTTGTTTTAAAAAGTTTTTTGTAAATACATTTGCGAATCATCTTGATACACATTTTTTTTATCGAAATAGTAATAAATATCTAAAATATCTATTATTGGTAAATGAGAATCATTCTACATTTATCAAAACCATATTTTTCATTTAAAAGGGGTTATTTCGTTACGGGCGTAGCCTGAAGCAGAAACTCGTATACAATGCTACTAGGGCTGATGCCCTGCTGATAACTGGTTCTTTGTGATAACGAGTGTTATTATTAGATATGTTCTGTCTTTTCGTCACGCCTAAACTACTGAACCTATTTGAGTGAAATTTAGTACAGACATAGTTTGGAACTCGAGAAAGGACATAGGATAGTTTTTAAACCCAAAATCTACAGGAATTCACTATTCCACGCGAACAAAGTCGCGGGCAAAAGCTAGTTTCTAATAATTGTTTTGAAAACTCTTGGCAGTTGCATCATTATATTACGTAGCTGAATACGCATTATTACTAAAGTTCAGTGTCAATTTTCGTATATATCTCCAAATAACTGATGACTTCAAACAGGTTTTTCATCAGCAGGAGTTGATCGAGGAATGACAGGCAATGTTTGACGAAAGCCCCCTGACAGCAATATCAGAGCACCACGAAAAACCTGTTGAGTACCGCGTAAATTTTGCATGGTTCGATTAAATGCTTCTGTTGATTTTTTATTCGCCATTGTATGAGTGCATTCCATAAAATAATTGACGTTAGTTGCAAAACTTTTGCCATAGCAGAATTTCTCGAAATATTACAAGTGGCACCCTGTACATTCAATAGCAATGCTAATGAAGAGTGTGCGGTCCTACCACCTTCTAATAATGTAACAACAATCGTCTTAATTTGCATTACGTGTTCGCTGGTTTTACCTCAACAATATTTTGGATCATAAAAACACAAAACAATAACTCAACAATATTTTGGAACAATAACGAACATTACATCTAATTAACTAGTGGTATGTTAAATGCTATTCCAAAGTTATTAATACCGCCAGATTCTTCATATATAACACATCCTAATTATATTCACGACTGTTATAGGTACTATTCACCATGAAAAACGAACAAAACCTGCCCTAATGTGACGACATATTTCGAAATAAACGAACAATGGAACGAATGATATGTACGAAGGACTGAGTATGTTGTGGGCATTTCATAGGCTTACCGGCGATACAAATCTGAGTTGTATGATCCAAGTCCTGATGCCCTTAATTTGGGGTTGAAATAAAAACCGAAGAGGAACTTTAGAAGTATAAATAAGGTCGTTCAGTTTCAAACACTCAGGCACTAAGATTTAGCACTCACAGCGTGCGGTGAGGTGTGCTAAATTTGAGTGATTCCATTCGCGACTTAAATAAATCAACGATATAAACCTTAAAAAGTAATTGACTCCTAATTACTACCCTGTCTTTATTTATGTTTTACTACTTGACGATAGATGGCAGTCTGTTTATAAAATGATATAAAAGTTACATAAATAATATTTTGCCGATTAAAGGATCTTTAGGAATGCATGTCGATCAAATTACTATACAAACGATCATTAAAATATACTAATACTGAACTATACGTACCTATAACAATTTTGTTTCTATTATACAAAGTGTCGACATCTAGTGTCGCATAGATTGATAATTGGAAACGCTGACAATAAGAGACTTTGCTAGAACTATTTTAATAAATGACGAATAAAATAATTTTTACATGGAAAGTGATGCCATCCATAGCACCGTAACGTTTATCATAGTATTTTTTACAAGATAAAACACAAGACTTCATTTTGTTTTCTTTTGTCACGAGTAAAATGAATATTTTATAGTAGTTGTGCACAGGACGAACGACCACATTACACTGACGTAAGCCACGCCCACATTGATGACGTGAGGGCCGACTTGTGTCACAGGGCCGAGTTGCTTAGGCCGTCTCCTCTTTGTTCTTACTCCGTGGATTTTACGTTGTCGTTTGACATTGACAGTTATGACAAATGACAATCTATGAATGAGCGTCGGTGTTCTCGGATCTTAGTGTCGTTGTTATCCAAATCGCATCCAAAACATCAAAAATAAATAAAGTTTACATTATCAGTATTGTGATGGCACAGTCGCAGTTTTCTCTGCTGTGGGACGCCCACAAGAAGAATATTTGCCATGGCTTGAGCAGTTTGCAGCAGGTTCAAAATTGTTGTCACAAACAAACGCTTGATTATTGGTGTCTTGTTTAACAACCTGGTGATTATTTCAGAATGGGGAGTTTGTGGACATGACACTCGCTGCGGATGGCCACTTGGTGAAGGTACACCAAGTGATTATTGCATTGGCAAGCCCTTATATAAAAGAGTTGATATCTACGGCTCAATGCCCGCATCCCGTGATATTTCTCAATGTAAGTTGCAATGTATGTTTACTCAAAGAATATTACTGTAATTTAACGCTAAGCAATTTATTAGCAACACAGCATAATGATCTAAGTAAATATAATGTTTCATGGTGTTTTTGTTTTCAGAAAATATCTTACCAAACTCTATGCTCACTGTTAGAGTATGTTTATACTGGTGAGGTGCTGGTGTCCATAGAGAACCTTAATGAGCTGCTGGAAGCTGGGAAGGAACTGCATATAAAAGGTCTTGAAGATATGGTATGCCACATGCACAGTATTTTATACTGCATAACAAGCACTCACTCACAATTTGCTTTCTTATTTGTTTGTATTTTGAGTTGATGATATGTGTATGTATTTACATAGAAAATAGGCATACTATTTTATATGTAAATACATATACATATTATATACTTTCAAGTGTTTTGCTTTGTAAGCTAATGGAACAACACTGTGTGATACACTAGTTGTTGTTTCGGGTCTCAATGGTTTGGGTATATAATTTTGTATGTTTGTAAATACACCCATGACACAGTAGAAAATCCTAAAGTGAAGCAACAAAGTTAAAGAAAAAAACAACTTATCAATGACTTGTATAAAAAAAATGCAATATTATAAAAAGGACATAAGTTGATTTAGCATCTAAATTAATAGACTACATCCTACACTAGAAAAAACTACATTAGAAAAAAAAGTTGTTTTTGGTCAGACTCAGCTATGCACACCAACCATTAGCCAAAGAAACTTAATTTGTTTTTTAAGGATCTGCTTGACTCTTTATTTAGATACAAACATGTACAACATACAGCCTATTAGCTTGATTCTAATATCATGCATAATTGCTCACTAAACCTTATATATATATAATATATATATATATATATATATATATATATATATAATTCTTGATATTTAACTAAATTCTTATTGTTTTGTAGAAATTAAATGATACAAGTACACAACAAGTTGAGACACCGCAAAATGAAAATGAAACAGACTGCAATATGGAAAGCCTTGATGAAGAGATAAGCTACTTCGAAATTACAAAGGATGCTGAAGATGGAACAAAGTATATGACCAATATTATTGTGTAAGTTTTATTTTGTACTAGTTATAAAAGAGGTTCTCAAGTTTACTGGTCTGTACGTCGGGCCAGAGGTTTGAATTAGTTATACTTCCAAAGTGGCAAAAAGTGTACTCTTGTAGCTTCTAAACTTCATAACTTCCACCATAAAGGTTTGAAAGATGTTTCATAGATAGTTTTTTTTTCAAATTAATCTTTCATTCATTCATTCATTCATTTTGAAATGAATCTTTCATTCGACCAACATAAAAAAAATATATTGATTAAAGTTACAAAGAGCTACAAAGTATGTTACTTACTTGTTTCTAAAAAACTCTAAATGGGTGGGTTCGAATCGCCCCTGGCCTCATTTTATTACTGTCAGACTTTAAAGATAACATACTTGTGCACTACCAGACATGGATTTGTCTAGCCCTTCCTCGTATTTTTAGACCATAAAAATGATTAAGTCAGCAACTTTAGTACCGTCTCATGTAAAATTATTAAATTTTGATCGCAGTGAAAGCGAAAATGGCACGAGGATACTGGACGCAACAGCCCCAGAAGAGAATTTCGACGAGGAACCAGATGACGAGGATTTGTCAAATGATAAGACCACAACTGAATCTAGACACAATATTTCTACAAGTCCCAGTGAGTAGATAGAGTTAGTAGAGTAGGTAGAGTTTTATACTGAACTTGGGCTCAAAAAAAACTGAGTTGGTCAAATGGTCGCAAATGAGATTGATTGATTGTTATCTTAATTTTTTTTATTCAAAATAACGAGAAAATCTTGACTAGTTTGTGATTGATTCTTGGGCAAAGTGTTATTCCGCTATTCCGATTTTTTTAATCATTAATATTAATTGCTACATTTCTGTGCAGTTGTAGGTAGATCGGGGATTTAACGGCGTTCTTATTTCAAATTTTCACACTGCCGATTAGCTAACATCATCAAAATGTATTGGTAGGATATTGTATGGGGTTAATATCGGCTTAAAAACAATATCGTTTTGAAAATAATTCAGGTTTATATTTTTAATCTGAAGCTAGATTTAACACGCGTTCTTATTCAGCTTACACTACATTATCTTAGAAATACAACATAATGTAGCATTTAAGTTGTATTTGGACATGTTGTTCACTTCGAAATAGCCAGAAAGTGAGAATAGGGAAATAATAAAAAAGCAAAGTAAAATTAGTATCACTTTTATAATTTATTCATAGAACGCACGGTGACACAGCAGAATTTTTAATTGTTTTAGGACTTTCAATCGATTCTGTTAAAAAAGCCCTTGACTAGACCAGAACAAAAATATTAATAATAAATATGAATTAAAGTTTTCTGAAAAAAATTGCATGAAAATTACTAAAAATCTTTATTTTTTTCACAGATTTAAGTGTAATGCAGTTCACAGTATCGAATCAAGGCTCTTTACAAATGATTCTGAACCGCTACATGTACTACTTGAAGTATACAAACAGGAAAAACATGAGACAGTGGCGGTGTGTGGATTATCTTAGCAGTATCAAATGTCCAGCCCATGTATTTACCAAAGATGATATTGTGGTTCAAAGGTAAGACTTAGTAACTATTGATTACAGATTCAGGGCTAGAAGTATAGGCAAACGTTGCGACGAAATTTCGTCGAAGTAATTAAAAAAAAAGGATTAGAAATCAGATATTTGGTATTATATCTTTAGTTTACCCTTGCCGAGACTTGGCAAATGTCTACAAGCTCCAAACCTTAAGCATTTGACTGCCGACAAAAACTGTTGAAGGCTAGGTACACTTACACTCCAAAGTGTAAATACGTCCCAAACGCTTGTCACAAATTGCCTTTGACCTGTGTCCAAAAACCGAAACGGGACTGAGTCGCCAACAAGCTCTTGCAAGCCATGCCAAACACCCTGTTCACACGCTTGTGCTTGTGGATGCTTGTCGAGACTTTTCAAGCAAGTAAACGTACCATGACACCTTACCGGTGAATGTAGACGTCGTGTAGTCAACGTTGGCGATTAAAATAATTAATTAAGACTAGCCCCTTCAGTACCAGAATCAAAAGTAGCCTGTTTTATTACAAACTTTAATCTATCTCTGAGCTAAACAAGATCTTTCCGTTTCGTGTTTGTAATACATATTAGTTAAGTAACTATATTACCAATTTTTTTGTCCCTAATGTCGGAGTCTGTCCGGAAATCTGGTTGTGAACTTTTAAGTGTAAGCGCCTTGCTTCGGGACGAATGGGTCGGTTCGACCGGCCTCACAGAAAGCTAGCGTGAAACAACCACAGCGTTGTGTTTCGCCGTGTAAGTGACGTTACCGGAGGTCCAATCCCTAAATCTCCAATTCCTTAATCCCCAAAAGGTCGGTAACACATTCATAACTCGTCTGATGTTGAGCGGCGCTGATTGCTTACTATCAGGCTATCCTCGTTTGCCGACCTATCACATAAAAAAAACTGCTCCGGGCCGTCCTGCTTACCTTAAAAATGGGTATTTTCCTAGGTCAAAAATAAATTAATTCGATGTTTCAATACCATTCATCGATCGATCCATACACAAAAATACAATGACGTCATAAGTCAGCTTTTCATACAAATTTCATAGAAAAGTATCATTTTTGACATTTGGATAAAAGTATTGAATGTATTGAAAGTATTGAATATGACAAGTTTCCAACTAGTCAAACTTGTCAAATAAACTCCGTATTGCCGACGCATTAACGGGGCTTTAACGTAGGATCTATAAGTAACTTAAACAAAGGGCGTTTTTCGTTTTGAACTGTTAAATATAAATAATTTCTTGATACTTTGACCCACAATCTCATCTGACCAACGATTTTGATAATATTTTTTTCGATTCTAGGATATCAGCTCACGTACACCCGTTCCACGACAAAAGGATATTGAAGAAAGTAAAGGCAGGCGCGGTGTTCTCAGCGATACACGAGGCGGAACAACAACAAATAATGAAAAGAAATGATACTAATATAAGTGATTGAATAAAATATTTTACTTTTTTATCTCGTATTTATATTCAAGTCCCATCTCAAGTCAATTCTAGTCCTGCACAGTTTCAGCCGCGGCTCCCTGTAGCCTAATGTTTTTTGGTCCATAGCCAGTATCATTTTCTTCATATAAGTAATAAAAAAACAATTAGTCGAGCCAGAATATTCCGAAGATTGAACGCACTGAGCGTTCATTCAAACCCGAAATTGAATGTATTGTACAATTTTGGCATCAACTTAGTTCATGATTCTCTTCTGCATATATTCACCTTTCTTATGTATCTATATTGACCCCCTTTTCTATATCTATTCACCCCTCTTCTGTATCTCTTCACCACTCTTCTGCACCTATTCATCCCCTTCTATATCTTTTCACCCTCTTCTGTATCTATTCACCCTCTTCTGTATCTATTCACCCTCTTCTGTATCTATTCACCCTCTTCTGTATCTATTCACCCTCTTCTGTATCTATTCACCCTCTTCTGTATCTATTCACCCTCTTCTGTATCTATTCACCCTCTTCTGTATCTATTCACCCTCTTCTGTATCTATTCACCCTCTTCTGTATCTATTCACCCTCTTCTGTATCTATTCACCCTCTTCTGTATCTATTCACACCTCTTCTGTATCTCTTCACCACTCTTCTGCACCTATTCATCCCCTTCTGTATCTATTCACACCTCTTCTGTATCTCTTCACCACTCTTCTGCACCTATATTCATCCCCTTCTGTATCTATTCACAATCTTCTGTTTTATTAACCCCTCTTCTGCATCTATTCCTCTTCTGCATCTATTCCCTTTTCTGTTCCGAGTACAACCTGCGTCTAATACGTGCAATGCGCACTATGCAATAAATAGTTAAACAAAAGAGTAATAAACATATCACCTACAAAGAGCAAGGTATAGTAAGTTGGTACCGAAACAGTGACAGCTTCGGTAGATTCTTTTTTCTGTTTTGGATCCGGTGGGAAGAAACACCCGTGGAAACACCCCAACAACCATCCAGAGGACACAGTGGACCACACGGTGGCGGTATAGCCCAGAGGACCCCCGAGGATACATGGCGGTGCTCAGCCCAAGCAGGGCTCGGGGAAGTGATCCGCGGCCTTAGTCGAGGCCATGGTGCGGAGCGAGAGGAGCTGGGAAGCAGTCTCCTCTTTCTGCGAAGTAGTTATGCTCGCAAAGGAGGATTAGGAGCTATCCTCCTTTTCTCGCCCCAGCCTCCACAGTAGGCGACACTCCGGGCGTCGGGATCGAGGAGAAGATCTTTTCCCCTCACAAAAAAGTACCACCCTCGGTCTCGTCAAGTCGAGCAAGAAAGCGTTTAATATTCTGTCAGTCATTCATATTTTTAACATCGAATTACCGAAATTAACAACCGATTTCAATCCAAAATATTTGGATTAATTTTAGATAACATTGCCAAAATCTTTGAATATTTAAAAACCTATAACTTTACCTACCAATATGGAGAATGCAATTAAGACATAATATGTGTTATTGTAGTTAATAACATAAATGTAGGTTTGTAGTAGTACCTAATACTTACATCTTAATACCAACATACAGACAGATACGTCACACACCTTCAATTAAACGTATACAAGATCAAGGTAACTAGTAAAGTACAAGGTTGAAAATGTTTATCGTTTAAGTCAAATTGTTCTTCAGCCTTGTCTTCAGTGTTCAGACCCTCTTTAATGATAGTAACCTATGCTATTCCTTCCTTAACTGAAGCGACGTACCTGCCGATATCCTTCAGTGCACTCATGGATCGTGGATATGTGCTTGTGTAGTGCACATTTACCTACCTATATTTTTATCCATCGTATCGTCATAGTTGGTCAGCCAATAATAGATGAATGAAGATGAACAAATTGCATATAAATAAGTACCTGCAATTGCTACTGCAGTTGCCCGCTGGCTATCTTCCTGCACAGACGTGTGGGAAAATAATTCAAAATGCTCCCGATCGTGTTTATTATGATACTCGCGAGTGCTTGTGAAGGGTATAAAATTCTGGCACTGCTTCCTTACCCAGGGAAGAGTCATTTTATGGTGTTTGAGCCAATTTTGGATGAGCTAGCAAGACGAGGTCATCATGTCACTGTGGTTTCTTTCTTCCCGTCACCGTCACCTCATGCAAACCGACGAGACGTCAGTTTGGTAGGACTAGCACCTTTAAACGTAGAAGTTATAAACCTTCAGGATTTTGACAATCCCACATTTTTATCAAGAAAATTCTCAACACAATTTGCCTTAGTCTCCAACCTTATGACTTTTAATTTAAAACTATGCGAAACGGTGTTTTATTCTGATATTTTTGAAGAATTCGTTAAAGCTGAAGGAGCATACGATGTCGTTATAACTGAACATTTCCATACAGATTGCATGATGGGTATCGCGCACAACTATGCGGCACCTTCAGTGTTACTTATGTCCTGTGCCTTAACACCGTGGGCATTCTCGAGATTTGGGGCTGACGACAATCCGGCCGTCTTCCCCTCTATGCTGCTACCATTCGTTGATGAAATGTCATTCCTTGAGAAACTAGAAAACGCTTTTAATGTAAACTTTTATAAATATTGGCATAGTTATGTTACTAGGAACGAACAGAAACTTGTGGAGACGAGGTTGAGCCGCAAGTTGCCACCGCTGGATGAACTGGCGAAGAATGCAAGTGTTGTACTTGTGAACACCCATCACATTCTAAATGGAGTAAAGGTGTTACCACCGTCGGTGGTTGAGGTGGGCGGCATACATCTTCACAACAAGTCAGTGCAACCTCTTCCCGAGGTAAACAAACTCTGCATGTAAATATGCTACATTAGGTAAAGGTGTCTAAGTAATTTATAGAAGTAGCTAGGTATTTAACAAAGACGTAGGTGACTTTCGTGACTTTGTGCAACTTGTACCTAATTAGTCACATCTTTGTTATTGACTAAAATCTTCATTAAAATAATTACTTACGTAGTTTGTCTTTACTTCCAATGAGAGGAGTAATAAGTAATTCAATAGAAAATGTACATTAGGCAGAAAGGTTCTCTACCTCGAATTTTTTAGATAAAAGTAGGTGTACCCACGGAGTCCTTACTCCGTGGGTGTACCCACCTAGGACATAGCTTGATCACTCTGTTTCTTGCCTTATGTTGTTAAGGAAGTATTTAACGGAATTTCTCTTATAACTAACATAGATTTTATTTTACCCAGAATATCGAGCGGTGGGTATCAGAATCAAAACATGGGGTTATTCTCTTCAGTTTTGGTTCACTAATCCGCGGTTCAACATTACCGCCAAAAAGATTGGAAGCCATATTGAAAGTTTTCGCGCGCTTGCCACAACGAATTTTATGGAAATGGGAAACAGAGGATATAAAAGGGTTGCCAGATAACGTTCTCGTATTAAAATGGCTGCCACAATACGATTTACTAAGTAAGTAATAAACTACACCTATCTACATTTATATGTTGTTTTTGTTTGTCCATAACCAAGAAAATATCTAATTGTAGAAAATATGTAGGTAGTTTCGATCCAAGTAATTAAATAATAATAAAACGTTACCGATAAGTACAACAGACGCAGTTTACGTCAAGCAATCAAGCATATCATTTTCCACTGTAGTCGTTTGTTGAAGAGTAAGTTATGTGGAACCATTGACCGTATATCTAATCATATCAGGGCATTAAGCTTAACATGCATAACTTCTAATGTAGGTACTACTTACAATCCACGGCGATTTAACAATTCATTCACCAATGAATTAATTATGTGACCCAAAATTGACCAAGGAAAGTGGTTTAACCCTCTAACTATTCCGAGAGACCTAGGTATTAAGCGCAAATGGTTCCTCTATGAGAAAAAACTTTTATCTACCAAATTCCCTTCCAATTGTGTTTCTCAATTCTCAGATAACCCGAACTGTGTGGCCTTCATAACTCACGGTGGCCTCCTGAGTTTGACAGAGATAGTCGCAGCAGGAGTGCCGGCAGTAGTAATACCAATATTAGGCGATCAGCCTGGAAACGCAGCATTTGCTAAACGAGCTGGAATCGCTGAAACGTTGGAGTTTCATGAAATTGACGAGGAGACACTTTACAATGCCCTCGTGAAGGTTTTAAAGCCAGAGTAAGTACTTAAATTATTTACCAAAATAATAGGTACTAATAGGTAGGTATCTACTTACTTGGTTTTGGATTCATTTCGTTTCGCGATTCGTAAAATTTTTTTCTTTTGTTATTTCGTAATCATTTTTTCATTTTTTCGTAATGGGTAGGCTTCTGGCCGCTATCACATCTGGTGTTAAGGGATGATCCGGTCTTTTCGTTAGTCACCTATTCACTGTGGCTTATAGACACCCAGGTTATTATAGAACATTAAAATTTTTATTTTATTCATTCAACAACAAACCTTAAGTGTCATCAAGGTACTAACCTAATGCGATAGGTAGGTATTTATACCTAACTATAATACAACATGAAAAGAAAGATGCAAATTATGGTGTTTCTTCCAACATTACAAACCTCTTCACGACGTATAAATAACATCATATCTACATTTAATTTCCACGCGTCACGCACAGATGACCGACCAATATGTATAACTTGCACGCCATGCGACACTCTGATGAAAAATCCGTATTAGATACCTATATTATTGTCGTAATAATCCTGTGGTGGGCACACCGGTTTATCATCTTCACATGACTATGGGTACCATTAAAAATTATACAATACCTACTCTATTTTTTGTGTGGATAAGGAAACAAACGAGCGGACGGATCACCTGATGGTAAGCATGCACACCCGCAGCACAAGAGGAGTCACGGGTGCGTTGCCGGCCTTTTAAGAAGGAGTACTTACGCTCGTTTCTTGAAGGTTTGAAGGTCGTATCGGTTCGGGGATACTACCGCCGGAGATCTAGATCTAGAGAGGGCTGAAAGTTTCGCGTGAATCGCACAGTTGTTGACTGCTAATGTGATGTGATGGGGATGAAAGTACTTTCGCGTAAAACGTTGGCGAAAAGATGCGACGGGGATCAAACCGAATAATTCGATAAATGCGATAGAGAACACATAGCGAGGCTAAATCCGTACGTAGTGACAAATAGTCCAACCGGTCAAGGATAACAGGGTAGTCAACAATTCGGACAGTTCGTCGTTGAATGCAGTCCAGAGGGAGAAGCTGGTACTGGGGTGCCTCCGCCCAAAGATGAGAACAGTATTCCATATGGGGCCGAACTTGCGCATTGTAAAGTAGCAGGCGATGCCCCGGGGTGAAATACTGCCTCGATCTATTGAGCACAGCTAGTTTCTTCCAAGGCTAACTTGGCCTTACCCTCTAGATGACCGCGGAACTGGATTTCGCTCGATATGTCGACCCAAGTATCCCAATACGGGCCGAGGCTGTGGGGTGTGATGCTCTAAAATTGAGGAGATATGACCAACGGCAGTTTTTAGCTGTGAACACGCAGACCTGTGTCGTGCAAACTGACTCAGTGTGCAGTTAAATAAAACGAGGTGTTCTGACATCTTGTTGAGTACCCGAAATGCGCGCAAGTTGCGCGAGTGCGCGCCATAGGCACGTGCAACAGACACGTAGTCGTCCAGGACACACAAACTAACAGTCCCTATGACAACTATCTGCCTACCTCCCTTTGCACTAGGTGGCTAGGTAACTGGCTGCCGAGCAAGGTGTCGCGGAACAACTCTTTGTGTGATCCACAAATTGTTGTTCAGGGTTTGGGTGTGATATGTACCTATGTATGTTTGTACCCACAAATACAGGAGAAAATTCTAGTGTAGGGCAACGTTTTTTTTGCATTACATTGCCTTGCCTCCATTCGATTTAATTACATCCCCTGCATCAGTTACAAACTGCACAATTATTCATCTTGAATTCAAATAATCTTCTGTTTGTCAGTGCGAGCGAGACAGAGTTAAGGGTCCTCGTAAGCACAAAAGAGAGCTTGGCCACCGCCACCCGCAATTTGCTATCAGTTACACTGTACTTACTTAACAATGTTTTTAAAAATAAAAAAATCAACAATTTTAATCGCTGCATTCCATCTTTCCATTTAACATCACTTTATATTTTAACGTTACCACACCTATGAACGTTACACATTTTCATAACTAACTAACAAAGATAAATTATTTCCGGGAGCGACTGCACTAGCCGCGTACTTACCGTTATCATTTATCATCGTGAATTAAAAGTAATTTTACCGGGCGAAGGGGAACGCAGGGGTCCGCGTCATAACGATTAAATATCAACTTTTCGCCCACCTCATGTATGGGTCCCAGATCCCATGCTATTGATAAGGTAATACCGAAAATCTATAGGTAAATAGATGTCCGACCCGGGAATCAGACTCAAAACTTACTGTTTGACAATTGGCAGCACCGCTTACAAAGACGCGACTAATGAGGTATTCAAGTCAAAAACATACTTTGAATGTTACAGAATGCGAGCCCGCGCCAAAGCGTTCAGCAAACGTTGGCACGAGCGCCCTCTACCGCCTATGGAGACAGCGATACACTACATAGAAAACACGGCAAAATATGGACATCTCGTCATGTCATCACCTGCTCGCCATATGCACAAATCAGAACTTTTATTCTTCTTGTCCATTGAATATTTAATTTTAATTGCTTTTATTTTGTTTATGGGGCTATTAGCTAGATATTGCTTCAGTCCGCAAAAGATTGAGAAATTTAAGCAGAATTAATGCCACGATTGATTTATATTAGAAAAAATAATAATATTTTAACTGATAGTTATTTCAAGTGTTATAAAGCTTAGCTATGTGTTGCGCTTTCACACATATAGTATTATGTTTCGCGGGGATAGAGTAGTTTCAAAATAGTGTAAGAAAATTTCAATCGGTCAAGTAGCTTCATAGTCTATCAAAACAAACGAAAAATCTCTTATCGAATTGCAAAAGGCAAGAGTATAGAATAAAACAAGGTGACTTATAAAATAAAAAATACATTTATTGTCCCTCATACATTTTAACATTTATAAAAATATACAAAACATTGTACAAAAATATTTATGACGATTTCTTTATTTTATGTATTTATCTTTATCACATAATTATATGAGCAAGTTAATGAACTATAAAATGATTTAGGTACACGCATATGGAATGTGTTTGACAAAAAAAATACTTAGATTATCTATTTTACAGAATAAATTAATATGGACATCTGCGAACAGTTTCATTTTCCTAGTGACGTTTAAAGATACTAAGCTCGTCAATTCAAATGCCCAAGCACACTGCTTGTTAGTGGCATTCAATAATTGAACACCGTCAACAAATAATTTTGAGGTGGTGTAAGTTCACCAAGTCAGCCAGTTTCGTAAAATTTTGACAAATGGAACTCGATAGATGGCGTTGTACAATGCTTATTGCTAGCTTGCTTATTGCTAGTTCTAAAAATGACTCCATTTTAAATAATTCCATTCAAATCTTACGAAAAGGAACAAAGGTCATTAGGAATAGATTGTCACATAAATAATGTTCCTCATTATTATTTAATAAGTAAATAGTAATTTAATTATTGATAAGGAATGTATGCTTGTGTGAATGGACTACAATAATGATAATGACCTCTATAATTGGAACAGAGAGTATTATTATATTTTAAATAATCTATATTATATATGTATAGGTACAATAATGCTAACACTATATAATATAATGCATGTATGCATATAATGCATAAACAGTATTAAAAATAATTTATTTAAAGCCATCCTGGTTGACGGATGACATAAATAATTTATTAGTAAATAGAATTTTAATTTATTAATTGGAAGACCTTGACATTACTTAGAATAGGAGTAAGTGTAAAATTGATGAATTCTACTGTCTAAGTAACAATGTTATAATATCATCTGATAATATAATATAGGTAAATAATTTTGGATCAATAACAGTATTTTAAAACATCATTAAAACCGTTACAAATTACACCCGAGTATTAAAAACAGAAAAATAGATTCGATACGTCTCCGGTAAAGACGCTTACCTACACGCTAAAATAAATGCACATTTAAGTACACATTACTCAGCAGTATTTTTAGCTAAGTGTTGTCTCACAAAGGTGGGCAAGACAAATGCAGCTTTGTGGATTTCGCTGCTGTAGTACCTTAACTTCATCTCCTTTTCATCTTCTTCAGTAAATACACGTTCAGGTTTATCAAACACAATATCATTGTCTAAAGATCCAATTACGAAACCAATTTGTCCTGATGGATATGTAGGAACTGAAGCATAGGCGTAAGCAGCTTTTGGAAACTGCTTTTTGCATATATTTAGAATGTTGGAAACTAGATCTAGGTCGTTCCAGACGGTGCCCGCTTGGGAACATATGATCCCGTTGGGTTTCAGAGCACTTTTCATGAGTTGGAAATAGTGATCTCTGAACAAACTTACGGCTGGGCCTACGGGGTCGCTACTGTCTGTGATAATAACGTCAAACTCGTTTTTATGGTTCAACATGAACTCAAACCCGTCGCCGATGTGAAGTTTTAGTTTTGGACTCTCGAAACCCACCGCCAAGAAGGGTAAGTATTTTTTTGAGACTTCGATGACTTTCTCATCTATTTCCACCTGGAATTAAAGTATCAGGTTATTAGTTATCAGCAATAATAATTAAGTAGGAATAAGTCTCAAAGTTGTATGTAATTATACCTAAAAGTAACATAGGAATAATGATGTTACTATGGGAGACTTATGCTTAGCAGTGGACGTTATTTATCTAATCTGATGATGCAGCACTTTAAATTAACATTTTCAATATAAAACGTTTTGCTGAGAACGTCTAAAAATAGGTGTGTGACGGCAAATAGTGTCGATTACTTCAAACATTTTATGTCGTCAGTATAATGTTGCAAGGTAATAATAATTGTAAACTTGAAACCGTGGGGTATTATTACACAAGTTGATTAAAAACTCTTTATAAAGATAAAAAAGGTTTAACACGTTCGCTGCATTACGAGATCTATCAGATCTCTTGCAGAACTTTTCTATTGTGCGTTGAATAAAATCGTGTTGTTTCACTCCTTGCGGGAGGATCTAACTTGTAAAGTTCTTTATGTATGAGTAAGACACATATACATATTTGCGTTCTACTTAAAACTGAATTTAAAGACATTAAAAAATAAATTAGAGATGGATTAGATCCCTAACGCACAGTACTATAATTATTTTTATTTCTTGCGTTACGAGATATGTCGATACTCCTGGAATCATAGGCCTCGTAGACGCAAGAGAGGAAGGGAGGGCGGCGCGGGCGCTCCGTGACTCGTGTTAGTGTTGTCCTAGCATCGACGTGGATAAACGGAAATAACACTCGCGTATATACGTCGTGTACGTGTTGATTACTTTTTATTAACAATGAGTGATTTTAGAAGGAAACATATGCTCATAAAGGTAGCTAAAATCTCTCCAGAAACTAAGGTAATGGTTCCAGACAACGCATATGCTAAGCATCGTCAACTAACTGCAGCACGGTTCGCATGAAGTCGAGCTTATTATGCACCATTTCAATCATTCCAGTTTACTGAATAGACGTCTTCTTGGATACAATTTAAATAACATTAATTTAGGCATTATTGCCGACTGGCAGGCACATGTTAGTACATGTGCCTGGCTTTTTTGGACTAAACGTAGTTTTTGTGTTAATGTACTTCTTCTGTTGATTGCCTGAAAATGTTTGGTTGTTGCTGTGACTGTCTTATCTTAGTCGCATTCCTGGTGGGCTTTGCTGCTTATCTCTAATGTTATAGTGTTACAATTATGTAAGCATTACTACACGGCGGGGAACCCGGTTTCACATCTCTCTGGCAAGTTTCTGGTAACATTAGCAATAACAATTTCAGTCATTATAACAAAAACGTTGTTATAGTAAACTAGAAGTACCTAGTATTAATAATTTTTTAAATCGACAACTGAGATATTATTTTGTTCCCATCACTACTTACTACACATATTGAACTATCTTCGGTTGCGGTATGAGATACGACCGATACCTATTTTTTTTTTGGTATTTGTAGTTTATACAAATGTCATAACTGCGTGCGAACCTAGCAAAATATAGAGCAACAGTATCTTTCACCCACATAAACTTTAAAATATATGTCATTGGTTTTCTGGAAGATATGAGTTATTGTCAAAACTGTATTTTTAGGAGACTGATTAGGTCTCAAACGCACTAAAGGGCAGATTAGTTTCGAGATCTTTTAGGTCTCCAAAGCACCAGCTGAAAGTTCTTTGAAAATGATGGCGCAGTGAACGTGTTAAGAACTATATTATTTGGTTAATAATATGAACAAGTTACTCTTCCTGTTAGGTCAGATAAGTGTTATCAGCGTAAAGTAATCACGTAGTTTGGTCCAATGATAAAAGGTTACAATGTGGTCCATTATCATTATTAATGGAGTACTGACAGACGGTCTTAGCTAATGTTCAGTTTGTTCGATAGTCGATACTTTATCTTAAATGACCCTTTAGTAACAAAATGATGATTAGAAACTTTGGAAAGAAACTTAAAAACATATTTTAAAGTTATTTAGGTATAAGGTTTTGAGAATTAGTTTTTACGTTTATTAGGTGTTTAGTTTTAATATAGGCCTGGCCTGTGCAGAAGGAGTAATGTTGGTGCATTTTTGGCTAGTAATTAAGTCTTTTATAGTATTTCTTAAACGAAAAGTCTACAACACTATTGGGCCTCATTTAGAGAAACGTAGCGCTGCTCCAATATTCGAGGCGTCAATGAGGCCTTAGAGACACAGCCAGAGGAATGAGTTGGATAAAAGTAAACAGAAATATTTATTTTCATTCCAATACTCAATACCTTTCTATTTATTTTCTAACCTACATAGTTACTATATTTTTATTCCATTTTTCTCTTTATATTTAATAGTTTCATTCATCTATTTTTCTAAAACACACCCAGTTTTTTGCCTCTTTACGAGAGCAACAGAATACCCATCTGAACAAAAACTAAATTTTAATAAGCAGAAATATTTTTTATAAAAAATTACAATCTATTACAAGATTAGACATACCTGAAGGATTTCTTTAACTTGAGGGTGTTTGGCAACTTCTCGGGCAACTCCGCCATCACCCCCACCCACAATCAGCACCTTCTCTGGATTCTTGTGAAGGCACAGCGGTAGAAATGCTATTGACTCCTGTAATATAAGTTTAACTATTAGTCTGATGCTTATGACAAAAGTAGTTTTATTTTATTTTACTATCCAATGGCAAGAAATATAAAAAATAGGTACTGTTAAAAAAAATGCCACATGGTGGTTTATAAGCATGAATTTGTAGTACTTATACAAAAATAAAATTAATGAGATTCAAAATTATTAATAGATAAACCACCATACTCAGAATTATTTCATGGTCAGTAACCAGTTCTTAGCAATTGAGTTCCTCAATTAAATATTATTTCAACTTAGTTTTTAACATTCATTCAAACAAAGTATGAATAGTTTGAATCTACCATATTGTCTTCCAAACAAATTTATTATTAGGCTTAGTTCAAGTTATAATTGAAAATTACTATTGAGTATGGCAGTTATTTTCCTTAGACAAAGCATAGACATTACTTACTTGATAGGCAAACTCATCCTTCTCAGTGCACTGAATAATGCCATCCAAGACTAATACTTTTCCGAATTTAGTAGTATCAAACACAGTTATTTCTTGGTAGTCCGACTGTTCAGAGTATAACACTTCTTTAACTTCAACTGAGAAAGTGCCACCAGGCCACATCTCACAATCTTCAGTGAACCAATTCTTTTTTAGGGAGTTCATTTTCAGTTATTTTCTAAAAGAAAAATAATACAGAATAGATAATACCAGTTTCTTTAAAGTTTCAACATTAGAAAAAAGTTGGAGAGGAATACTACCTACTTACTGGTTACTGTGACTATCACATTGAATATCTCTCAAACAATAAACCACCTTATTTATACAAACTATTTTAATACCTCATTAATAAAGTTAAACATTAGACATAAAAACTAGTTTCTAAGTACACACTTCATGTTTAAACAGTTAAATAACAATCTGACAAGCACATTAATTTTCTATGCAAGCATATTAAAAAACAATCATTGTTATACGAAACTAAATAGCTATTACATTACGAAAAAAACACGCGTTAAGTTACCTAAAAAAAGAAAAAATACCATAAAAAAGTTTCATCATTAAAATTAAAAATAAATAAAAATACTATCAGTACAATTTCTGTGTTAATTTCATAAAACTCGTGACGTTAAATATATGGTACACGTAGTTACATTGTACTATTTCGTGTAGGGTTTGTACTTACAGAGATAAATTATCCTTAATTTATTGAGCTCGCCGCACCAGACAAGAATCGCTCAGGGTATCAGTGCGACTGAATAAAAGCAACCGTGACTAAGTCCAAGGCAACACCAAATGGTTTGTTTAATATTCTATACTGATAAGATTTGGTCACAATTTATTTATAATTTGATAAAAGAAAACAACAAAATCACTGTGTGCTAGATGAACGTAAAGAGAGGAATGTCAAACAAAACATTGACAATGACAGTTGAGCTCAAAATTGACATAATATGTCATATAAGTACACATATTAAAAGATTAGTGATGGGTATTGGATAAATACTCAAAGGAAATATGTATTCTTGCGTATTTTTTTTATCGAATAGTTAGCATAAGCTCAAGATGCTTTCTGAATAAGAGTGGAATTTGGCGTATCGTATTCAGCTCTGCCTAATTAACGAATGTGCAGCTGACTCGTAGACGCTGTTTGTATAGATGGCAATGTATCAAAATATTCCGTTGCTGCCGTTCCGTTGTTGATGCTTTATGATAACAAATCAACATAGTTGTTTTATTGTACACGAGAAGTTTTTAATTTTATCTCCATTTTTAATTTTAGATCTAGTTTGAGGTACGACCTTAAACTAGACCTAAAATTAAAAACAAATATGTAAAAAGCCTAGTAAACTTCTCGTCTACAATGAAACAACTATGGTGATTTGTAGGTGGGCGTTAAAGGGGAATGACGTGTAGATCTCACCGAGACAGACAGTAATGAGCCCCACATGAATTTTCATATACTACTGCTTACCAACAATTTTGCACTTCAGAATATCTTACCTAATAAAATACGGAAGACGGGAGTGACTCTTTTTACGTTACTACCGCATAGCACTCCATATTCTCATTACAATAGATGCAGTAATGCACTAAATGTCAGACTCTGCCCATGCGATTCAAGAACTTACCAAAGTACTCGTGCCATTATCGCACCTTACAAAGAAGGACAGGAAGCCATGTCTGCTCTCGAGTCAGCGTCGAATACTGATCAAAATATCTTGATGTGACATAGTCTGAAAACCAACCTAACCAAGTTCCAACGAGTATGATAATACTTACCGTTGCGCAGTTTACAAAAAGGCCGTTCTCGATATAAGTCCCTTGCGCAGACTCTTTTCAGAACTAAAATACCTCCTAAACGAGTAGTAATTACAATAACACATCTGATATAAAGGTGACTATTACACTTTCCTTGATTAAAAATTCGATATTCAGGAATAGAATACACCGGATACTTAGAGAAACATGGCACTCAAAACGTCAGCCAGAATACACAAATAGGATAATAAGATATTCAACCTTTCATCAGTTAAGATGATGTCTTAGTGCATCGAGCATCCATGAAATTTTAAGAAATGATAGACGTAATAACTATGTCTTAATGAGTAGCACAATAAGTATCGATATAATTATATTATAAGAACAAGCAATACTTCCATGCATATAATACTCTGTGATAAGTTACTAGTGCTACACTAGAAATACTCGTAAGATAAAGCTGTCATTGTCAAATTCAAAAATGTCAAGTGACACCGAAATCCGAAATCACGCTATTGTTATGAAAACTTTTTATTGAATTCATTAATTTATTTGTTACTAAAAGTAAATGTTATTTGTGAAACAAATATTGCCCGAGTATAATCCTCGTGCAAAGTTCAGGTCACCAATGCAGATACTTAACGAAATATTATCACTGACTTATGAGAAAATAGGAAATAATAAGAATCGGCTTTTAAAGTCTAGAGATTTTAGGCAAACTCCATCCTTAACACCAGTCTTTGATATCTTATTTTACATTTGTATATATTTATGCTATACACATCAAATATTACATATGTGTTACAACAATTACGTATTGTAGTATTAAACCATGAACATGACAACGATTACATTTGACGAATTTCTCGCTTCTGCTAAGGAGTTTGAACACAAATCAAAGGAATTAGGCGATGGTTGGACATTAAAAGAGGATAAAGTGGACAATCTTAAGACTTTCCTTAGAAAAGATGCGTTTGTACAATATGAGAATGGAAATATTAACCATTTATTGAAAGTGGAATATGTGATATTTTATAACTTGAGCTATGAAGTACCATCATTTAGTTTTAACGCCTGGAACTCTTCTGGTACCTTGCTTACTTTGGATGAAATTAGGAAAATGTCCTTTATTCAGTAAGTATTGCCATAATATAACTTGTTTATTGAAGAAATCTACTGAACTGTAATGATAAATTGGTCTGATTATTATAATCATACCAATTTATTGGTACAGCAAATTTTAATTATTATATAAAAACTTTTCATAAACTCACATAGTTTATTTAATTGAATTTAATTTCTTTATTCCAGGATAAATGAAAAGGACTTCTACTCAGTGATAACACAGCAAGAGCACCCAATATTCCAAAGGCCCTACTTTATAATGCATCCTTGTCATACAGAGACATTACTGGCTGCTTTTAAAAACAAAACTAAAAATATAATTGTGACCTTTTTGGGTCTTATAACTCCTTTGATTAGACTTAATTTGCCCTTGGAGTATGGGTTATGATGGAATATTTTATTACTACTAATTACAAATTGTTGCAATACCATCAATGTTTTAAGCATATTTGAAAAGTTATTGATTAAGGTAAAATATTCCCACCAATCTAGTTTTTTTTAACTTGTTCCATTTTCAAATACTGATTTTTGAGTTGGCATTATAGTTACCTATGTAATCTAGTTTTTTTAACTTGTTCCATTTTCAAATACTGATTTTTGAGTTGGCATTATAGTTATGTATCTTGTGTTCACAGATTACACCCTTGAATTAAGTTTAAGTAAATTGTTTAAGATCAAGAATAAGAAGTCTTAAAATGATCAGTAGTTATTGGTAAGTTTTTGTTGCATAAGTAGTTCTTTAAAATTACTATAGAAAATAGCTTTTGTACTTCATATAAAGCCATTGGGCTTTTTTCACATACATACATTTTTCATTGAATGCCAGCTTGACAAGCTAAACCTTGTTACTTGTTATTATGTCATGATCATGTAATAAAGTCCATTCAATATTAAATAAGTAGTTGTACTTATTAAAAACTCAAAAGACTTCTAATTTTGAAAAATTCACAGATAACAATTTTGATTGGTAGATTTGAGTACTGCATTATGGCTGATCTTCTTTCCATGATCAGGTATCATCAGTTGTGATTGATAGGCTTTGGCTGTAGAGTATAGGACTTATGGGAAATATGGCCTTACAATATAGGTTTACTTAAATCTCCTCGCAGGCAGGTAGGTATGAGACTTCACTTTAACACATCCAGTGCCCCCAACGCGTATGTGCGTTTCCTTACGCTACTCTGTGTGCCCTCGGCACTGAATGTGTTAAAATGTTCACAAGTGCTCAAAAAAATGTGTGTGTAAATGTTGGCTAGATTTTTGAGTCTTTTGAAAATAGAAAGAAAGAAGGAAAGAAAAATCATTAATACACAATAATTAGGAAAAAAATAATAATAACAATACAACAATAAAAAAAGGTAACAAAAATTTAAATTATAAAAATAAAACACACACAAGTATGTAATGTTGAACAAATTAATATAAAAAAAATAACGACTTACTAACGTGAATTTACTGAGAAAAGCTCTACTAGTGTCGTGGTGGCCGGGAGGTTAAGGCACCTGCTTCTCATGCATGAGGGTGTGGGTTCGAAACCTGGCAAGTACCAACGTGAGTTTTTCTGAGTTATATGTACTTTCTATGATTATTTAGACACCACTGACATATACGGTGAAGGTAAACATCGTGGGGAAACCTGGACTTATAATTTCTAATTATCAGTTTGAAATCGCCAACCCGCCAATGCGGGTTGGCGATAACCACGCTTGCTCAATAGCAAGCGTGGTTATTAATGCTCTAACCTTCTCCGTATGAGAAGAGGCCTTTGCTCAGCAGTGGGCATTTATAGACTGTTGATGATGATGATGATGATGATGAGTGTCAAGTCACTACGGGAATCTTATTCATGAAAAGCGTGTGCGTCGCGGGGAGACGTCGCGCAGCCAGGTAGGTAGTGTAGTAATTCCGTTTAGCCGCCGCCACCGAAATCCATAACTTATTACACTGAATTTGTTAATTATTGGGCATTACAGTGTGAAATAGCCATGCTTCGGTACGAACGGGCATCAGCAGCCCGGCCGGAGTAATGCCACCGCCTTGTAGAAAGCTGACTACTACAAAGTATAAAACAAAGTCTTTATCTAATATCCCTATACATGTATGATAATCTTTAAAAATACGCAACGGATTTTGTTGCGGGTTTTTTTAGGAAGGTTTTTATGAGACGTTTGTATCAGAATTGCACCGGGTGCGGATCAGGGTCGGGTCGCTAGTTCCTACATCATGAAGCTAATTTACTTTTTGCATATCTTTCTAATTACAACCCAACACAAACAAAGTACCAACATTTCCAAATCAGTCTCATGACATGGTACCTACAACATGTTTAATTAACAAGTTTCATTTGAAATAATTCGAAACGGCCGACGTCACATGGACATGTCGTCAAACTTTTATTGATATCGTATTGAAAGATAAGATAGTTTTCGCTATCAACTAAGAGGTGTATTCATTGTTATATTTGTGTTTCACTCGAGCGGTCATGAATGTGTTGTACATAAATAGTTAAAAATAATAAAAACTTCCTTTTTGAAGTCTGTTTATAAATGAATGTTAGTGGTTAAAATGTGATACATGTGTTTAAAATGAGACAGTGTGTTGGATATATTTTTAATTTGATACATAGAGTGTATTTGTATTTGCTATCGTGGGTGGCTTATTTTCTATCCTTTTTTTACAATGTAAGTATTTCTTAATTTATTTCTTCTAGTCGAATCGTAAGTCGTAAATATTTAGCCTTTGGGGAGTCGAGCAAATAATGTTATTGTATTTTTTTAAATCTGTTCGATTTTTGAAGTTGAATTCGTTTTTGAATATTGTTTATTCTTTAGGAGTGTGGTTTAAAATCAGTAGGTACATAAGTATAAGTATTTCGTTAATTTTGTTTATTTGATTATATTTCTTTTTATTAACTTGTATTTAAATTATCAAGTGTGGATTCTGATGTAACACTTTGATAACATCATCTTTTCATTTCAAAAACACATTTTTATTGAAACCGACGAAATTGCGGGTAAATAATACTTTTTGGCCAAAATGCTGGCTGTTATAAATATTGATAAACCCGACGTTTTCATTCTCAATGCATTTACACTACGCTTCCGAGCCTCGGCGCCTCGGCGCTATTTCGCGCTCCTTTCCAACCCGGCACCACAACCAATCTCTTAGCTTGCTTTAAAAAATAATACGGCTATCTATAAGTAACTTATTTTTTACCGACGTTGAATACTTATAGGTAAACTTTCCCCAAACATTTCTTTTAAATACATCAAAAGATACAATGGCAAACGCGTCCCCGTACAAAATATTTTGAAAACTAAACAGTTTTATATACTTAGCTTATATACACCTGTAAAACAGTACATAAATACATGAAAAATGTAAGTATGTATCTTATCTTGCACAGTCGGTACGTTAGTTTATTGCTGTAACTGACTTGTTACGTTACTTATTGTAATGTCCCTATTGATAAACAATTAAACGTTTCAGAAAATTCGTTCGCGTATTTTTAATACTTAGTTATGTATATTGGTAAACATCACTCGGTTAATTAAATGTTGGTTGAATACGTCTATCTACTCTTACAAATAGGTAGGTATTTTCAAAAGTTGTAGTCAGAACTACGACCAGTCGCGTTCAGCACATTTTTTTTTAATTGGACGGCAAGGGTGTCGAACGAGCAGACGCATTACGTGATAGATAGCAATCAGCGCCGCCCTAGGACACCCGCAACAATAAAAGAGTTACGACTGCGTTGCCAACCTTTTCGGGGTTATGGAATTAGTAAGAGATAGGGGGAGGGGCTCGAATACACCGTTTATTTTCCGAATTTACAGATACTTATACCCTAACTTTTTTTATTTATTTTATTTATTTAAAGAAAAACATGTTGTGCGGCATCTAGTTGCCCAGCTACCGCCCCAACCGTGCAGTCAAAAACCCTTTATTGATTATGATTGGTATATATTAATTTTATAAACCATAATGAAGATGCTTTAGATACCTACTACCGAATTTATATCTATCGCTGCATATCTGACATCTTATCAATAGGTACTGAACTTGGGAGTTCCCTCCAATTCTCAATAAACAGGTTATAAGTAGTTAGATACGCAGTAACAGTGAAAACTACTATTAACTATTATTATATACTATTATTAACTAGGATTTCGAATCTACGATATTGTACTAAACTAACTAACGATATTAAAAAAAAAAGTAAACTTCGCAGTGGGCTATAATAGGAAATTCAAAATTTATTTCAAATAACGACTTATGTACCTACGTGAATTTTCAAAGAAAAGCTCTACTGGTTTCAAGTGACAACGGGACCCTTATTCATGTGCAGCTTGCGCGTCGCAGTGAAGTTGCGTAACCGACGCGACTGTGAAAATATTATTATTATTATTTGAAATTACGCTTAGACGACCTTACAAAGGTCGAAGTCGAAGGAAGCCGAGGGTCGTTATAATCGTCACGAAGTTATTAAGGGCTTATGTTTAGCAGTGGACAGCGTGTGACTGATCTGATGATGAATCATCCTTTTTCACAAAATCTAATCTTTACACTGATCATGATTATAAACTGTGAATTACGGATTCATAACTTTTTTGTGGCTTTTCGATCGATGAAATAATTATAAATATTTTTTGTTAAAACCTAAACCCCCTTGATTAGTTGATTTACTTACCTACATATATTTTTTATCGTATAAAAATGACTGATTCAGTAATAGATACTTGGCTACGATAAAAAGAGTTAATCTGAATGTCACCATATTATGAACTTATCAAAATTATCTGTGCTCGTTATTTATAAAAATAAGTAAATACATATAAATATTGTCAATGAGGTACAAAAATGAAGCCTTACCTATAAAGGAGAACAAGGGACGATCTCTGGCCACCGTAAGCGCGGGTCTGCGGTCGGCGAGTAAGGGCAGCTCGAGTAAGGGCTCGAGTAAGGGCCCTATAGGGCCGATGTTCAGCCGGGGTTGCGGGGTAAGCGCAATAAGGCACCGTGGCCTCGGCCCAGAGCAGGAGAAGGAACGGGGGGTTTTGAGTCAGTAAGAGTCTGACACTCACCCGCGTAGCTTGCCTTTGCTCACCGAGGATAGTGTAGTTACCTAGCAGTGCAATGATTTTTAAACATCGGTCATTTAAATTCAGAATTTTCAGAATCTATTCAATTGAAACAAACAATCAAAACTTTCCTCCTTATAACACTAGCACAAAATTGCGGATGTGTTTATTTTTCTTCCATTAATTTATTCCTTGATATTCTATTTACCTAAAATATTAAGGATTAGGACATTCATCGTATAGTGCATACCTGTGTACCTATAAGTAACTAATGCCGTAAGTGTGTCATCGTTTAAATATCAGCCGCCTAACAACCTGTCCGTTCAAGGGTAAATTCCCAGAAATTGCAATCAATACGTCAACTAGCCTTATAAAATATATAAAGTGGAAATACTGCATAAACATACATAACTTAGTACCTAACTATATACGTTTGCTTAAAAGAAAAGAGTCCTAACTAAAAAAAAAGTTTTTTTTTAAATCGTTGCCCTACACTAGGATTTTCTCCTGTGTCGTGGGTGCGTTTACAAACATACAATTCCAGATACACGTCACACCCAGACCCGGGACAACAATTTGTGGATCACACAAAGATTTGTTCCGTGCGGGAATCGAACCCGCGACACGTTGCGCGACAGCCAGTTGCCCACCGCGCCAACTGTGCAGTCAGTTCTATAATAAGTTTCAATTTCAAAATACCCTCTTTTATGAGTTACTTCGGTTTTGAATGATGTATGAAGAAGCGTTGTAAACTATCTTAATAGTCAATTAGGCGAGCTTAATGAGCTTTTCAGTAAGTACGAGTATTTTATCTTGAACCCCTTTTTATCTGTAAAATGTAGTCGGTTGTCAATAACTTTTAATGGTTTTCCATAACGGTAGATGAGATTTATGAACGAAGTTTTCATAGGAATAAAAATCAGTATATCACACAACAAAACAAACGATAAAGTATTTTAACTTAAAATTGCGGGTTACTCACGTGTGTACTTGAGAAAAGCTCTACTATAATTTGAACCACAGAGGGGTTCTTCCTCATAAGCAGCGTGCGCGGACGCGGATAAAGTATCTTCTTGAGATGAAAAAGAAAAGAAATGGTGGTGGAACTACCAGTCATTTATTTAGTAAATTGGGGAAAGCATTGAAACGTGGTGTCAACAGATGAATCGTGCTAGTAGTAATTCTTACATGAAATGTTATCACCAATCACATTCAATTTCATAACAGATCGCATTAATAAATTATCTATATTATATTTTTTTAAGGTGTTCATAGGCTGGCAAATATTTTATTGAGCGCTAACTCAGCCAGATCTCAGGATCTAGTGCGAATTTGCTCTACTTTATGACGATCGACACGTCTATGACGTTCGGCGCTGCGATTGGCCTGCTCAAAGATAACTAACCAATCAGAGAGCTTAAAGCGGTAATGTTTTAATCGCGTTAACACAAAGCAATCTTGCACTAGGCAAGCAGTTGCTATTAGCTAATATAAGTGTTGAACTGTTACAATAATTGGTATCGATATTGAAATAATTTTATGTTTTCGACTTATTCACGTAATTGTTTGACGAGATACTCTACTAGTTTCAAGCCATGCTATAGGCCCATATTCAAGAGCAGCATTCCGTGACACGCGACGCGGCGACTGTTACGCTGTTACTGGCTACTCGAGTCTGCGGGCCCGTCGAATAGTCGAATATCTCGTCAAACAATTACGTGAGTAAGCCGAAAACATAATAATTAATTTAGTATGTCTCACGAAAGTTATAATAAAAATAAAAATATATTAAAATACTTTAATATCAAATTTCGAACAATTATTCAACGAGCAAATTTATCGAAGCGTATACGAGTACTTACTCGTTAAATATCGCAAATTCATATGACGTCACACAACATCTAATTTTCCACGTTCATACTGTATAAAGGATCACCATGAAATAGCGAAATTGCTATGCAGTTATGTGTAGGCATTTATTGATCCCTCCTTAGTATGGAGACAAAACAGTTTGTCCGTTTGTATCGAAATTCTGACTAAATTACTAAACTGATTTTAACGATATTTTGACGGCTTGAAATGTAAGTTATACATGGTAAAAAAATTTTACACCGACAGATTTCTAATTGAATGTTTACCAATTTTATTTTCGGTTAACGCAGGTAGAAGGCGATACCTAGTATTCATCAACTGTACCTAATGACCAGTGTACAAATATTGATGCAGTTACTAATTTACAAATAATAACATGCATCGAAGGTATTTAATAGCATTGATTGTTCATCAGATTGCCAACTTTGTATGTCGTAAAGTTACTAATATTTAATACTTTATAGTGACTTTCATACGCTTGAGATTGACCTTTTTTTTAATAATTTCGGATAAATTATTTGAGCGTAATTTCTTAGATTTTTTATTTCATTTCAAATTTCGAATTGACGTATTTGAATATGTTGAAACGTTTTGTTTGCCTATGTACAGTCAGCTCCAAAAGTCGATGAACAGAATCAACTTACCAAAACACCTGTTCACAATAAAACGCCATAAGTTATAGTCGCAACTAGGGAACAAAATAGCCTGTACACCAGAAATTTACAAAA